TACATCAGAATGAGGCAAGTCATGTAAGAAAAAAGGAAACAGAAAAGGAGAAAGAACAGCACCTTGAGGAACACCAGCTTAAGTAAGTGAGGTAGTGGAGGACTTTCCATTGTAGACGGTGTACTGCTTCCTATCAGAAAAATAGGAATGCAACCACTTATTTGTCCAGTTCTCAGCCTGTGTTGCAGCAAGCTTACTTAGCAAGAGAGACATAGGAACAGAGTCAAATGCAGATGTGTAATCAAGGAAGGCACAGCGAACATATTTAGCTCCTTTATCTAAACTAGAGACCATACTATGATGTAGGACAACAGCGGCATGTTGACAATTCTTAACGACTCCGAAAAATTTCAGGTGGATAAAGCTAAGAAGGATGCAACAAAGTCGTTCGAAAATAAAGTGAATAAATTCCTCAAAGAATTCCTCATCAGGAAACTGATTGACAACAAAACTTACAATGAACTGAAGTCAGAGGGTGGACGACTCCCATTTATGTACGGTCTACCAAAAATTAATAAGGCCAATGTGCCTTTAAGACCCATACTATCAAAGATAAACTCACCATGCCACAAACTAGCTCGATGGCTAGCTGATTCATTGAAGCCAATTCGACAGAAGAAGTCTATCACGTTGACATATCAAATAAACTAATTGTGCCATACGACGTGACTGCCTTATTTATAAATGTACCAGAGATGGAAACAATAGATATCATCTGTAAACAAACAGATCTATTGCCATTACCGGAGTCAGAGATGGAACGACTACTAATTCTTTGCACACAAGACATCCAATTTAGATTCAATAATCAATTCTACCGACAAATTGATGGGGTCCACCTCTAGGACCCATTCTAGCAGACATCTTCATGGGCTACCTCGAAAAGACGCGACTGAGTGATGCTACCAATCAAACAACATACCACCATCGATGATACTTTTGTTGTTTGTAACGACATGAATCAGGCATCCGTATTATTTGACCGCCTAAATGAGATCCACCTAAACATTAAATTCACCACAGAATACGAACACAACGACGAGATCGATTTCACGGACCTAAATGTAAAAAGAAGAAACGATGGAACGGTTGAAAAGTCAATCTATAGAAAAGAAATTGGATTGGATAATACCTTCACTACAACAGCTTCTGTCCTATAAGCGGGGATTAGTAAGGACACTGTACGACAGGACCGGGAAGTTATGTTTGCCTGAAAAGGTAGAAGAAGAATTAAGCTTTGTTGAAAATTGCTTTAAGGAAAACTGGTTTCCTTAAGTTCAGCAAAGAAAGAGATGAGAAAGAGAAGTATCCAACAGTTGAAAAGAAGAAAGTGTTCATTTGCCTCCCATACAAAGGAGAAACCATATCGCAAAAGATTGAAAAGAAGATGAAAGGAGCAATAAGGGAGATGCTTCCCTGCAGCCAATCTGGTGACACTATACACTACTACATGCTTGCTCTATAAGCCAGTCGAAACAGGATAAGTACCCTGCTGATGATGTTACCTACAACTGCATTTATAAATTTACGTGCACCTGCGGCAGCAAATACATTGGAAGGACAGAAAGAAGGGCTTCTATCCTGCTTTCAGAGCATATTCCAAGAAACTTATGCTTAAAAGGAAGTAGATATTTACAAAGTGCAATTACCAGACACCTTGTGGATACAGATTATTTTGTCGAGATTTCCAAATCCTTCAAAATATTAGACATACAAAGGACAGCGAATCTACTACGATTTGCTGAAGCAATTGCAATCAAATGTCTCAGACCAAACTTATGTACACAGAAAGAGAGTGTAGTCAATCTCTCACTCCCTTGGTAACCATATCAATTTCATTACACTGATAAGTCATACACACGAGTAGGCCCAACTCACTAAGCAGTTTTCAAACTGATGAAATTTGACCTTCTTGAGTTGCCATGTTGACAACGTCTATGAGATTTTTCTGTTTTCTGTCTTCTCTCACCCCCCTTTTCTTTCTCTTCATAGTTTGATAGTACATAAATTGATGGCAACTTAAACTAAAAATTGTAATACTTATATTCCAGATGCGTTGACCTTATGACGTTTTCTCTATTACCTTGTAAACAATAAAGTATGAAACGTTATTATTTATAACCATTGTAATTTCAGGTAGTTTGCAGCTGATGAGAACCTGTGAAATAGAATGATACCATTTTATACTGCAAATCTGGTCTTTCTTTCTCTATCGAAATTTATCAAGGGAACCAAATGTATGCAACTCCAAATCCGATGAAAAACCTGTGTCTATATCTCCTCCTGAAAACAACAACACACCACTTTGAAAAACCTTTCAAAAGCATTGTATTTTTCTCAACATATACAGATTGTCACACCTCCATAAAATTTGGGGACTTTCTCAGTCAAGCAAACCTACAACTGAAATCTTAACGAAAACTAAGATCTCTACTCTCAAATGCAACGATTGAACTTCAGGGCGAAATAAAAACAAAACTAATAGATTCACATATCTCTCGAAAAAAAGCCAAGAGAAAAAGTCCAACAAGTTTGTGTCAAATGCACGAAGGAAATCAACTGTCTCCGATACAAAACGATGATAAACAGCACTAAGGTGGAAATTCAAGCGGCTAACGAATGGAACAATCCTCGTCTGAAATCTCTCTGTGATTACACACAAAATTATTCCTGAAACGAATACTAAAGTGAAATTCGAAGGTACATGCTTCTCACGAGTCAGAATATGAGGTTAACAGTGAATCAATTCCATGCATGTCACTGAACAAATTTAACAAATTCATGAAAACCAACCGGTATCAAATTAAATGCACAACATAAAACCTCCCTATCACCACAATTATATGTAATAATTTAGAAAATGAACGAAACACTATATGGTGACGAAATCCCACACCGTCAATCGACAATTTCCCATCAAACAGACGGTAACACTGCCTTCAGGAATATACACAGACAAACTATATCAGCCATTTGAATTGCGGAGTCATTAGAAAAACATCATACAAAAACGTCTACCCTCAGAAAATCGATTCAGGGTTCACCAGGATGTCCACACCTCCCTATGTGGCTCAAACTAACTGTTTAAGATCTCATGAACTGATACGATGTTTTGGTTTGACCACCACTAGCTCTTTTCCAACCCAATCCCACTATGTCAGCTTAACATTGCTGACAAACTAGATAATCAGTTTACGGTATGTTACACGTCGCAGTGTCGGGAATGATTTCACCTACCGAACTCCTCTTTCTACTGATGTATCCAATCCTTATTTCTTCAATTTGTGATCATATGAAACGTGAGCTATATATACACTTCCCTAAAGAACTTAATCCTCCAATCACTCCAGTAATTTAATCAGCATCGGCAATTATTGCAACTAAACAACTGAATATGCTTATTAATATCCGAGCACATGTGTGAAGATGAAAAGCACTCACTATACAATCTGCTCATCACAAGAATCTAGACATTCTATAGGCAAAATGATCGATTTACCAAGTTAACGTGAAAGTAGATTCATTGAACACACTGATTATATTATTTATCTAAATAAGTGTCATCCACACACACATTGTCGGTACAAAGTGTGTAATGAGAAGAAGATATCCGGGAACTTGTTAAGGTGAAGTACAAACTTGAAAGGTGGTGAGTAAAGAAATCGTTTAATGCCAGACACGTGAAGTTGTTTTCAATACACCACACAAACCTATACTCCTATTCCTTCTCCTCAAACAACAACAACAAGAACCTGCACTGCTGGATGGAGTTAGCTCACAGTGGTCAACATAAGACATGGTACCCAAGAATCAACTCACTGACCTTTCATATAAACTGAGTAGAACAACAATGAGACCCTGGCGACACAGACATGGATTTTCATTCTATAACTTAGTCTACAGAATGGATATTCAATTATTCACCAATAGTTTCCATCACTCACATCATCTTTGAAATCAAACCAAAGACTGTTACCATTAAAACTTTACGTCGAAGAATAAGATCAGTGGTAATTATTACTAGAAGAAAGTGTATTTCTCCAGAACTCATCTCTCACTGATATCATTCATATCTGTTTCGATATCTTTGCATTTATAGGCAGCATACAGAACATTAAAGTAGTACGAATAAGAAGACACAGGACTTTCCCCTAAGGTTGTACAGTTGAAGTTGTTCCCAAATATCATCGACATGTTCGTTGGTATAAAAATATTTTCAAAAGCGGTTTGAGACAAAGAAAGTACTACAGTGTACAACAGCGGGAAAAGATCTACTTTGTCAATTTTCACATTTTACCACGTCGGATTTCTGATTTTATCAAGTGACACTAACCTTTGACTTCTTTGTAGGCAAATCTCTTTCCTTTTGCAATTAATAGTGTTCTCTGAGCTGGTTGGTTTAGTTGCGGAGCTTTCGTCGTCTTTCTGGACGGCATCTACAGCGCAGTATTTAGCAAAAAGTTAAATGATTTAAAGATCTCTATGAATGATGATACAATTGCGTCTCCTAGTGACCGTTTTCTATTAATTGGGATTTTAAACTTTCTGGTCACCTGATTTGCTTTTTATTAGTTGATATATTTCATCTATATTAACGTGTTTATTAATGGCATTTTCGTTTGAGAACCAGGCTTCTAGGAATTCCCTGGCACATTTGGTGTTTACTCTGTTTAAGATTTTGATATTATCCCAATCAAATTGACGCCCATAATTATCTGTATGCATTGATACTAAAGAATTTATATCATGTCTTTTCACGGCTGACTTGTGTTCTTGGATTCTTATTCGAAGAGGACGCCCACTTTGGCCGATGTAATGTTTGTTACAGTTCATAAAATTTATTTTGTAAATGGTGTTAATTTTATCACCAGGAGACGCAATTGTATCATCATTCATGGAGATTCTTAAATCATTTAACTTTATGCTAAATACTGCGCTGAAGATGCCGTCCAGAAAGACGACGAAAGCTCTGCAACTAAACCAACCAGCTCAGAGAACACTATTAATTGCAAATCATCCACCTGAGTTACAAATCTTTTCTATTATTTCAAAATCCCCTTCCTGTTAATTAATAACATTCAAAGATGAGATTCATCACGATTTCTATCTGACTTCTTTCTTCAGTTAAAATTATACAGGGCAAAGACTCACTTAGACTCCTAACTGTAAATTCTACATATCATTAATACACAAGTGCTCGATGACGCATAAGGTTAAACACAACGGAAATCGTATTACATTTCACTGCCAGTTATGCAACATATAATAACTTGAGGTATTCCAAACAACTGTATAGTCAGGTGGTTCACTAGAAAATAATAGTCAGCTTGTACACAATGTAAAGATAAGCTAAAGGCAATGAGAAAAAAGTCACTTATATTAAAATGCATAGAAATAATCAAATAGAAATTCAAACGTTATTGCTTCGGTTTCGATGTACCAGTATGACGAAATGATTGTTTATTGGCGCAACGTTGGACCCACGGATGAGACATGATACCTTCTAAGGACAGGCGATCAGTTGGATAACGTTTGAGGATCTGTAAAGGCATTTAGAAACGACTATCAGATAAATCTACGACAACTTAGAACGTGAAACTAACTACTATAAGCTATAAATAATACTTGAAATATACCCATTCATTCATAAGGAAAAACAGTCTTTCTGTTCAACGAAGGAGTATCTCTTCTTAACGACTTCATTTCCAAGCTGTATACTGGTAGTTATATTACAGGAAATGGCATTAACTGGCACTCGGAATTGCTCAGTCAATGTACATATGACAAGAATAAGGACAATTAAAATGATGTACTAACGGAGTAGAGTTGAAATGGATGAATTGAAAAACTTAAAGATTATTAAATGAGGCAACTGGTATACAGATTCTAAAAATAGTAGGTCAAGTATTGTTCAGAAAACTAAGAACATGGTGATGATAACAATAAAGACGGCGAATGTGAAGTGAAGTTGGTTGAATTCAAGTGGTGAAATAGAATAAAATGAAAGTATACTACTATGACAAAGGTAAAAAATGGCGCTCGACAAAACGTTTTGGAATACATTATTTAGGTATTTGTCCATGTAGAGCTGGAGCTTCGGCTGCGCATAAGTAGAGAAAACGTAAGCTTTTGGAGTGATTGGATTTGATCATGTGCATGACTTCAAAGGATAAATCACGTGAAGCTGAATGACGTGATTCCAGAAAGTGTTCAAAAATCGAGGACTTTGTCGTCCCATAGTTCACCTTTCATTAACCCAATCGGATAGTGTTTGGGTGCGCGTTTACAGAGATTACGCTTACAAAGTCCACTGCAATCAGCTCCACACGAGCATGTGAATCAGTATACATGCACATACAGGTGGACATAAGCGGTAGTTTATTCTTGACGCATTGTCGAATCATATTTTGGCTGGTAAATACTAGATGCAAGTCAGCTGCATAAAAACACCCTTTAATACATTTAGATAAACAACATTTAATCAATTCAGAAATACTGTCACCTCTGAAAGCTAAATTCATAAAAACAGTGTTTTCTTTGGCATGGTGATTTGACTAGGAATGGTTTCTTTCTTGAGGTTTCTGTCGATAAAACTTCTACGATATCCATTATTTAAGCGAGTTGTGAGAAGGCTTTCTAATTTTGAGTCGACCGTATCTGCAGAGCAAATTTTCCGAATTCTCGAGCATAGAGAACGGATAAAATTTATCTTTCTACCCAGAGGTACCCAACTGTTGAGGTTAGTGTACTGATGGAAATCCTTCAGCAGCTGAGCTTCTTGAGAGATTTAATGGTTCTCACCCATCTATGCTTTTCACTGTGGAAGATGAGCCGAACTCCACATCTCACTTCTTAGATGTGATGCTAGATAGAAGAGAGGATGGCACGTTAAATTAGTCGATCTACTGAAAGCCAACACTTACAGGTCATTATACTAACTTCAACAGTTGGATACCTCTAGGTGGTAAGAGAAATCTTATCCGTTCTCTGTCCTCCAGAATTCGGAATATAAATAAGAATGTACAGACTAAAAATTAAGCCGTTGAAAGGAGATGTTTCTTCACTGAACAAAAGTAACCGCGTGAAATAATGAACTTCCTCGATAAAGGAAATTTTCTTCCCTGAATTTGTCTTTCATTTTCTTGATGAAATAATACTTGGACAGATGGATGAGAAAAATTACTTTTATTGCAATGAAAGGCGAACGAACAAATAAACATTGTACACTTTAGATAGGTGTTTCGCGAAACAACACCTAATGAGATTCACAGCTGAGTCTACCATTAAAATCAGAAACCTACCATAGATTAAACTTAGTTCTAATTACAGACACCCATACGAATCCACCGTGGACATCATCGGTTGCATAATTCAAAATAAACCATAACGCAACATATGAACTAGCACCGAAGTTTGGAACATTTCATGAGCTATATCTGCTCTTCTCTTCCCTTCACACACATAACTAATTCCCTAGGCCACCACCATGAGGATTCGAACTGGTGCACTTGTTTACACACTAAATGAGGTTCGGACTTTACATCGATATAAAAAAGATTTGGTAACTCACGGTAGCAATCATAAGTATTAGTAATGTACATGGGGAGGAAGAAGCACATTTGGAAATTCAACACGGAAGTTCTTAGTGATCATGAGATTATACGTTACAAAAAAAGTGATGAACAGCTACTTCCGACTTACTTCTTCAATATTCCAAATATCACATCACTATTCTAAACATGGGGTCCAGTTTATGTTAAGAAAAATACCCTTCTATTTCTAGATAATCACATAACATCGCTGACAAGTACACTGCCTTTAGGCAGTACCCCTGTAGATAGTAACGATTCTCACTAACTGCATAAGTGATCTGTTTTCTTTGTCTGAACCAAGCAAATATATCAACGATGAAAACACAAACTAAATGCACGTCACATTTCAAAGCTCGATCTCGCATCCACATGCCTTCAGAGAAATTCAAGAAACCTCACACAATATACACCCCCTTCACATGTGATAAAATATTGCTTAGTGTATTCAGGATATCAACGACTTCACAAATTGTAGTCAAGGAGTAAAAAACAGTGAGAAATTACCTTGGAAATCAGATCCTGTGCCAAAGGTGTTATCTCAGAAGGGAATGTATATTTCACGGCTTTGATACAAGCATAAGTGTCTTGAGTACTAGGATGTTCGAATGGAGGTTTGCCACACAGCATCTCGTAACACAGAATACCAACGGTCCAGTGATCTACACGTTCATCATGAGAAGTCCCACAAACCATTTCTGGAGCCAAATAATCTATTGTCCCGCAAAGTGTTCTTCTCCTACAAAATATGAAAAAATCCCAGCTGTTAAGTCGAAGACAAAATTCATTTTTAAAATCCACTAGGACTCTATGCGACATGCTGTGGGAGGCCACGATAATTTAGTAGTAAACATCAGCGAAATCAACACCACGCCTTTCACAACATCCAGAATTGGTTCGTCCTAGATGTTTGGAATTCAACAACTTCGAATTCTCATCCGATAATATCCCCCACTTAAACACAATTGTATATGTTGATACAAGAATCATCCTGCAACTCTAATGAGGCAGAAGGCAATAACCAGACACATAAACGTTGTTCGACTTCATGCAACTCTACATCAATCCATGTCCCCCAATTCGCACCAGTGAAAGGAAGACGACCTTCACTCGATAGAAGAGATATTACTAACAGTCATTGCTCTGATGCAGTATTCATCCAGTGCTCAGACGCTGGTGAGACCGATTACACAACTACAGTGGACAAAGCGGGAGGAGTTAATTTTTGCAAACGTTGATCATGTCTGAATCTTTAAGATCAGAGTCATCCCAATTTCATAAGATACACTCTTCACTACACTTACCATGTGTTCTGGTAGAATGGAATAAGGCAGAAGTATTACACTTGAAACCACAAGTTCAAACAGAAACCTAGACCGAAGCTTTCATCACCTTGGGCACAAATTTTGAGTCAACGACAACAAGCACAATATTAACTGGCTTCGCTAACAAAGTATACAATCTACAAACATCCTACCATATCACATATTTATAAAACATCAGGATCATATTAACTCATACTCACCTCAATGATGGAGCATGTACTGCCCATCCAAAGTCTGCCAGTTTAAGCTCCTGATACAAACCCAAGAGCAAGTTCTCAGGCTTTATGTCACGGTGAATCACTTTCCTTTTGTGGCAGTACATCAAAGCATCACAGAGCTGGTAAATATACTGAGAGAATAACAGCAAAAGCAGAACATACAGTAGCCGAACGTGTCTCACTAAAGCGTCTCAGTCTTCGAAGCTCATTAAACATCTGTCCATTAAAAGCATACTCCAGAACCAAATATATCCGCTTGTGGTCATGAAAGTAAGTATATAGTTGTAGAATGTTAGGATGCTGCAAGTGGCACATGATTTCAATTTCACGTTGTATCTGGTGCTCCATCTCGCATCTCACTATTTGCTTCTTGAAAATAACCTGAAAAATTGGTTACGCCTGAAGAAGCATACTTTTATTGCACACGGAAAGTGTGATGTTTTCTTTCTGGCTAAGAAAACAGTCCCAAACTTCCCACGACCAAGCTTCTTCCCAATGTCGAAGTCAGAAAGGACACTCATCCGGGGATATCCCTCAACCGACATTTGGACTTTTACTGACGAAAAAGGAGCGCAATCAGTTGTTAACTCATTGCCTATACAAACAAACAACTTCGTACAACAGAAAACGAAAACTGGGATTCGCGTGTGCTTAGAGTTTGTGACGCTGAGATGCCTATGACGTTTTGAAATTTGTCGGCTTAACTGCCTGAGATTTGGGAAAAGAAAGAAGAAAACAGACTAGTTGCAATATTCATTTCCCTTTGTACCTACAACTACTACTGCTTTGGAATGTAAGAATGTTCTGGAATACATGGTATTGTAGCAGCAGACATTTCCCTGAATTTATTAGACCACAAATTCCACCACAGTTCGACTCTGGACAATGCCTTGCACTAGTGAAGTCAACCATTGAGTCTTATGTTACATAGTGACGTGTCCACAAACCTGCACTCCAGTTTGTTGCACTCGGATATTCACGCATTATTCGTATTATGCTTAGAGTGTAGTGGTGATACACGATTCTATTTTCCATGTACTATCCATGTGTCTGAACAGGATGTGAGAGGTGATACACTAAGGCACATCTAGCCTTTCCACTTCTCTCCAGCTTTGTCATCCTCATCCATTCCTGCATCCTGTGGCTGAAACCGTGCTTCCTAGCCTGATAAGTGAAGGATGCAACCTCTGTCAAATCTCTCTTGTTAGTGCTGACTGGTGCTGGCTGTTTTCGCTATTGCCGTTGGTTGGTTGGTTGGTTACCCTCATCACCTCCGTCTTCTCTATGTTCACCTGGAGTCATGTGCTCACTGTCTGTCTCCTCAGTCAGTTTGTTGGTTTTCGCCTGTAAGTCTTCGAGTTTTTGTGACATTAAACATACATCATCTGCGAAATCCAGATCTTCTAGAGTTTTCTTGTCGGTCTTACTGTCTTCTCACTCCCAACACACAGTCTGTCGAATAATCCAGCCAGTCCACCACAATTAGGAATATCATGGGTGATAGTAATGGGCAGCATTGTCATACTCCTGCATTCACTTCGAACGCCTCAGTGAGTTTTCCGTTGTGGATCACCTGACAGGTAGCACTGTCATGTAGCTGTTGAATGAGGTTGATAAAGACTTGGTCACTACATGTCGTGGTGTTGAAGTAGTTTTCAACTTACCTCTTGGTCAACGTTGTCTGTCGAGGGCTTTTTCGAAGCTGAAGAAGGAAGTTTAGGTAGAGGTTTGACTTCCACTCTATGCCCTGTTTGATGACGATGCAAAGAGTTGCAGTTTGATCAACACATTATTTGCCCTTGCTGAATCGAGCTTGTCCCGGATTGGAGGAGCTCTGCAACCAATGCGCATATCATTCTCTTCAGAATAGGTGAGATTTAGCATTTTACTTGGCGTGGACAGGAGCATTATTCCACTCCAGTTAATTCGCAGGCCAGGGTCGCCCTCGTTTTGCAGCTTAACGAAGCAGCCTGCCTCCAATCTGTTGTCACTTTTCTTTCTTCCCAAACATTTTGCAGTCGTAGGGTGAAAACATCTGCCGTAATCTCTGGGGCCGTCTTCAGTGCTCCGAAGGGGATGCCGTTTGGCCCTGTTGCCTTCCCGGATTTCAGTGGCTTGATCGAATTCAGAATTTACGCTTTCGTTGGAGGATTGGTGTCCACTGGTGGGCAGTTCCGGGAGTGCCATAGGTTGTATTTCTGGGAGAGATTCAGGTGACGGTCGATTCAAGAGTCCTTCTAAGTGATCAGCCCACTGTCTTATATGTTTCTCCGCCTTGGTAATCAGGCTCTTTTGAACATTGGTTTAATCATCTGGATTGATCTCTTCCCTGGTTATCTGATATAATTTCCTGAGATCTCTTTTACCTGCGACCTCCCTTTTCTGCTCCAGTCTCCAGTCAGCGTTCCGGAGAACTGTCTTTCGTCTATCCTAGAAATCTTCTTCACTTCGTCGTTCAGTGCAGTATACATTGAACTCAGCCTCTCCTTCTGTGGCGCATCTTTGCATCGAGTCATCTTTTCTTTCACCGTCCTCCACTCTTCTATTAGCTTCCAGGTAGGTGCCCGTCGAGAGCTACTCCTTGTCTTGTCTCTCTTTTCTCCCTGGGACGGTTTTACACGTTTCCTTGGATATCGCATTCAGAGAGTCCCACACCTGCTTCTTTGGCGACTTTGTATCCAACAGGCTGCGTCTCCACTTCCTTAGGCAACACTGAGATGAAATCTATCTGATTCATGGTTTGTCTGCCATGCAAAACCCATGTTCCTTTGTGCATATCCTTGTGCTTGTACATGCTGCCTTCGACTAACAAACCATTGAGAGCGTAGAGGTTTGCGAATAATTCTCCGTTTTCATTCATTTCTCCGAGAGCCTCTCGACCCATGATGAGTTCTTTTCCCGTATTGTCTGCTCCGAGTTTGGCGTTCATATCGCCCATAAGAATTTTGATATCTTCGTCTGGCATGCTGTCCATTACCGCTCACAGCTGCCTATATGAACCTTCCTTCTTCTCCATTTCTGAGTTGCTTCTGGGCAAGTAGCAGTAGATTATTGAAACTCCCCTTCCCTTTAAGTGGAGTCTTATCTTCATGGTACTGAGGGAATTTGGTACCCAGTGCATAAGAGATTTATCTGCTGTTGGGGACACCTTGATAGTCACTCCATCACTGTGCTGGTGGTTGCTATCTTGGTGACCCTAACTAACTGATGCCTCTTGCGTTGTCCATGTTGTGAATTCACATCTATTGCATCCACTTTCCAAGCCATATCTTCTCGTCGCTTTTTCTACCTTTGCAGCCTTCCCAGTCTCGTACATCTGCGATTCTATGGCATATTTCCTATTTGAATTGGCGCCTCCAGCTTAATCTATACTGCATTTTCGCCACTTAGTTGATTCGAGTTCGGGCCTGTCAATGCAGTTGAAGATTGAACGATCAATTCACGGTTGTTTGCTCAAAACCAACTTCCCCGATTCTCGCGGAGGCATCAATACGACAGTCATCGTCTCATCGGTCGCTGTTCAGAAAGAAGTCAGAAGTAAACCGTCAGAAGTAATATTGTGATTTATTATCGTAATATTTGTTCACAGACCTTTGTGAAACATTTTTATGTTGATGTTACAATAAAGAATTCTCGAGAAGCCCATCGGTGTTTTGGTTTTTCGTCCGTTATTATTAAGCGTTTCTGAAAAACTGCAAGGAACAGCGTGGGCCCGAGCGTAGCAAGAGCTGGTCATTAACGGTTTACGAGACGTGATTGACAGTTTCTGACGATAGAAACAGATCTGGCGGATTCAAACAGTTGGTGAAAGTTTGGATAGTCACCGTTCATCTTTCCTGGTGCCGGTCAAGTCCTCTTTGAACAAGCAATATCTGGCACGTTTTTGGAATTGGGTCAAGTTCATCAATGCCTGGGTCAAAGAAGGGACAGAGTGTCTTGGATGCAAACAGGAAAGTAAGTCATGGTGACTTGTCTGTTAATTGTAACGATGTGTCTGATGTTAAGTATGATATGGTTGATGTTACTGTTTCGCCGTTCAGGGATAATAGGAACATCAAACTCCCTAAATTTGAACCACGGTGTTTTGATGGAAACCCAGCTGATTATTTACAATTTGTAAAGGAGTTTGAGATCATGTTGAATAGTTTTTTATTAAGTGATGAATTGAAATTGATGTATTTGATGAGGTATTGCACTGGAGATGCTTCAAGAGCTATACAGTGCTGTAAGTTTATGAAGCCAAAAGAGGGCTACTACGAGGCTATGAGCATATTACGTCAAAGGTTTGGAAGACCTACAATGATTGTAAGGAACGTATACGAAGCTGTCAAAGGTAACGGCAGTCAACTTCGAGATGACTCCAAGGCACTTACTGAGTTTTTAGATAATTTGCTAATTTACAAGAATGCAATGATTTCGATGAATCGCATGGGTGACCTCAACTCGAGTTTTATACTAGTGTAACAACAGAAGACAAGGGCCAGGCAACAGATCGTTTTATTATGAAAATCAACACGTATTTATACATATTTCAACTACATTATTATAGACAAGCGCAGTCATCTGATTGGTTGTTTATCAGAAGTTAGGTAGACAAACGCAGGCTTCTGATTGGTTGTTTCGGGATTCCTTGACAAATAGAGTTCTCTATCTGCGAATCATATTTTGCCACGTTAACTTTGCTGTGATTGGTTGTTGACTCAGCCTTGTTCATGTTTTCTCACGGCCCATAGTAGTGACCTAGACCTTAACGTAGATTAGTGCCAACCAATCGGCTAGCAGCCTGCTCTCACCACACTAGAAGTAACAGCAAGACGTCTACCTACTCGACTGCAAAGGAAGTGGGTGAAGATAAGCTCCCGTATGGAGGATGAGGGTATCGAGCCAAAATTTGATGATATCCTGAAACTAGTAAATAATAGTGTCAATCAATCTATGAGCAAGTTCGCCAGTCTATTACATCTCACCCCTAGAATAGAGCAGTCTGAGGGTAAAATGCAATCATTGATGACGAGTAGGCCTCAGAGAGGTGGATATCGAGAAGGCTCCATGATGTCTGGTAATGCATATAGACCTAGTGAGTGTAACAGGTTTCGTAGTACATCCTCAACAGATAGGTTACAAGATGCAAGACAAACACGGTTGTGTTCTACACGTTTGCAAGAGGTGCATACAAAGGTGAACTGTGAACCAGTGAGCAAGTTCAGTGATAAGCTAAATGTAAACTCCAGGCCTGACTCCAAATTGTGTGACGATAACGGTGCGGTCAAGAAGTCTGTAGTTGCAACTGGTAAGCCATTGTTGAATAGAGTGTCATAGAATAGAGTTGCTCCTTCAGAGTGCAGTTCTGACCCTACAAGTTTACAAGGTATTACTAGTCAGAGTGAAGGTATAAAATCTTTGGGGATTTGTGAGAATGAACCAAAATTGTCTACTTCTGTTATTAAAGAGTTTGAAAATGATGAACTTGACGGTAAATTGAATATTTGTGATAATGATCATGATAGTGCAGATTTGTCTTTGGTTGATCCTGATGAGATGAGAGATGTGCCTACTACCACTAAGTTAATTAAAGGTTCTGTACAACTACAACGTGAAGTAGAATTGAACGCAGATGCAGTTCCAGAAGGTGTGCATACTTGTGAGACAGTCAGTGTAATTGATCAGCGTGTAGCCAACCTATCATCAGATGATAGTGCTAAACCCGAACTAGTAGTGAAAGACAGCAGTGGGGGTAATCTTGCAGTTAGACAACTATCTGAAAGCCGAAAAAGAACAGCTTCTGATCCACTGCTAAGTTCATCACCTTGTGTCACTCAGTCATCGTTGGTGTTTTTATCCACAATGAAATGGACGTCCATGAACTCACGTGCCTTATGCAATGACTATGATAGTATTGGTGCGTTTGAAAAGACGAAAGATATTGCTCAGTTTAGTGAGAATAAGCCAAGTGTAAACGAGAGAGTAATTGTTAAATTGACTTGCGTGAATAAAGGCATTTCTAGGTTCAAGTTACTAATTGAATTTTATTATCTTTGGTGTAAATTACTCTGTGTCTACGCTTGTTTGACCAGATACGTCGTGTGTTTGTTGGTCATCTATATTCTACGATACAATGACATGAGCGTGTTGCCGTTCAGATTTGAGGATATAGCTCATAGAAGGATGTTAGCAAATGAACTCTGCGACGATTTTCCAACCTAGAGCGTCAACCTGAGAAGGGTTGTAGGCGTACTGCTGTAAGTCCTACAATTCTTCAAAGGGTAGCGCATCAATGATCAGTCCAGTGTGCTTGGTGTGTGATTTTGTACATATGTTCATATTGCATATACTGAATTGATATCATCTGTCATCTAGCTGTTGGTAAATCTGTTTGTGTCCGGACGGCTTCCACAACTTACAATAGTCAACGTGAGAAGGGTTGTAGGCGTACTGGTGTAAGTCCTGCGATTCTTCAAAGGAATTCCATCAAGACATGATCCGCGAGTTTTTGTGTACAGTTTGTATATATGTGTGGTGTGTCATATCAATTGGTGTATTTTGGATTCATTGTGTTTACTCGTTGTTTTCGTACCTTGTTGTTATTGCATAATTTTGTTAAAATTTTCGTCGTGATTACTTCTGAAGTTGTTTCGAGTCTTCTACATCCATGAATGAATTGATTGATGTTAAGGACAGCAGATGGTTCGTATACGCCTGGGAGGCTAGGCTATTGCTGAGAATGACATGCACACGGAGATAATTGTTAGCTGCGGTCCGACACGCCGGGGAGAAAGAGTGTAGACGACTGAGGCTCGCATGCGTCACCGCTACTAGAACTGAGGCAGAATGAGTGACAAGCGATTGCAGTGGTAATTGGTAATGAGTAGATAAGAGGATGTGCGTAGAGTATCATGAGTTGGTGCTATGGTCACGTTGCATTCTGCAAGAGTCATTCTAGCAAGTGGAGATTGTGTTGCAAGATGTCAAGAGGAGGTCTCTGTCTGGAGGCGCAGGTCGTCAGCGATGTGTGAGGTTGTGCTGTGAGTATGCTTGTGGTGTGTTGGCTTTTCTGTTTGTTTTCCATTTCAGCTCTGTCCGTGTGACCCAGGTTCTCGCACTGGCATCCAAGTCAACGTGTATTGATCGTGAAGGAAAAAAGGGTTGGATCCCTTTTTTGCCGGGGAGTGTCAATGTAGTTGAAGATTGAACGATCAATTCACGGTTGTTTGCTCAAAACCAACTTCCCCAATTTTCGCAGAGGCATCAATACGACAGTCATCGTCTCATCGGTCGCTGTTCAGAAAGAAGTCAGGAGAAACCGTCAGAAGTAATATTGTGGTTTATTATTGTGATATTTGTTCATAGACCTTAGTTTTAAAGCTTAATTTTAAAGTTGGCTATATGTTGGTGTTACAATAAAGAGTTCTCGAGTGGCTAATCGGTGTTTTGGTTTTTCGTCCGTTATTATTAAGCGTTTCTGAAAACTTCAAGGGACAGCGTGGGTCCGAGCGTAGCAAGAGCTGGGCATTGACGGTTTACGAGACGTGGCTCACATTAGTTTTCTAAAACAATTAGTTCTCTTTATGTATTTGGATAGGGCAATGAGAAGACCTATTTTGTCTAAATCGTTTAGTACTGCATTTGCACAGCACATTTTGGACAATCTGATCACACATGGACTCGTCACAGGAATATATATGAGATTAATAAATAGTTCGGAGGTGAGAAAATAGGCTTAGGCCAAGTTGAAAGTACATATTCAAGGCCAAAATAACAATGAAGACCACTAAACCAGATAGCAGACGTAATAGTACATCTGTTATGGTATCAAAACAAATTTACCAAGGAAGGTTTAGCGCGATGACGAATTGTTTCTGAACGCATAAAGGTGGTTTAAACTTTCTAATTGCTAGGGCTTTCACAAACTTTAGGATACGCCTCAAACACGTTTTATAGATAGATTTAAAAGATCTGTTAACGTCAATTTTATGTCCTGTCTCTGTGATATTTTTCGCAGTAGAAGAGTTAGGTCTTCTGTTCTCATCATTAATGGGTTCTGAGGATTCTGTTTGCTCCTGGAGGCATTTAGGAATTTGCTGTAAAGACAGCCATTACTTGCAGACATCAATGAGTCCTCCCTATGTATGTGTGCCCACATGTACAAACAAATTGGTAAATACAGTGGGATGTGACGTCATTTTTCGCATGCTCGAAGGGTTTAGATAGATATATTGGCTTTGCATTCTCAATTATTATGGCATGCATTTCTTGTAAACTTACCCGTTTATACGAGATATAAATTATTATTGTAATTATTATATTAGCTGCGTAATATATCTTTTTACAGCAGCGTTCAGTCTTTGTCTAGTTATCAAGCCGCTGTGATGCTCCATATGGGGTAGCTCGATATACACGTCTTTCTTAGGGGCGAGCTGTAGAGTCGGTCCTGGTGTTCTAACTACTTTGTGTCACCCGATGAACTTGTCTTAATAATTTTGTCAACTTTCTTCTTCTTCGTCAAGTGTGTCTTCAGTGCATATTCGTTGGATTCTGCTGAAGAGGTCCTTACTAAGGCTCTTTTTACCGAACAGAGCAGAAACTGTGGTGATTAAGATACTCCCCTGTCCAGGTAGGTATAAAACGAGTTTGGGGTGTATCCTAAATTTTGTGAAAGCCCTAGCAATCAGAAAATTTAAACCACCTTTATGCGTTTAGAAACAATTCGTCATCACACTAAACCTTCCTTGGTAAATTTGTTTTGATACCATAGCAGGTGTACTAATAACTTTTTATATACATTGTCTGTACATTTTGCTTGATTCGTTGTCTACGGGCTTCCAACGAAGAAATACTTGAGATGCCAGTCAACTTTCAGGCATTATTAGTAAGTTCAAGCGGAAACCGATCTAGTGTCAGTGTTTCAGGTGGTGTTTCTCATCAGAATAAGCTTTCCAAGAAAATTCGTCGATCCAGTTAACAGAAAGAGGAAATCAACTAACGGTCATTTGTAATTACGGCTTTACTTTCTAATTTTCGTCAGTGATATGCTTAGATTTGAGTCCCTACGTATACTGGCAACAGTAGTTCTGTAGGGGATTAATACTAGAGTTCACTAATATTACAAATATGAGAATAATAATCCAAGTCAATGGAATGTTAAATAACAATATATTACCAAAAATGCAGTGACGAGTTATATCAACAACAAGGATTACTTGGATACAAAGTTTAAGTCCTCTGCTACAAATTATTTATATAATCCACGGGTACGTTAATTGTTTGGGTTGCGTCTGCTGTAGCTGCTGTGTTCCGGTTGTAGAAATGTCTTCGGTTGAGAGTAGTAGACTCCTACAATAAATCCGAAGTATACAACACGGTGTGAATTGAGCAAGTAAGCAGAAATAACCGGAGAGGAGACGAAGTCTCCAACAGCAAAGTGTATTTTCAATTGTCCAAGGAAGTTATATATATTTTAACAAGCAGCGTTTTGAACAAAACTCATGTACAATATCTTTAATTTCTACAAATAACCAAAAAGTATGCAATCATATTGTTACGTACTCCACAGTTCTCGCCGTAAACGCTTAATTATTTTGGCGAAAACAATCACTATTTGTAACGATATGCTTACTATTTTTCAATGGTCCTAGCAAACTAGATATCTTTTCTCACTGGTTAAACAGAGTTACATAAGGTAGGAAGCAGTGTATGCTCTATGGAATAGACGAAAAATAATCATTCATTTGTGTAAATAGGTGAGTGCAGAGAAGTCAGTGTCTATCACGAAGACATTGATGATTGGACATAAGCCCGCGTGGTTAGATACCTTGTGACCTGACGCCAATTTCTCAGGTACCATTTTGCTTCACAGGAAACAAAATATTCCATTCCTTTTAACGAATCATGGCTGATGATGCGGCTAGAAAGCTGCAGTTCGAGTACAAGATCAACTCTAACTTAGTACTTTCAACGGATCGGTCACTGATAGATAGACGTCCTAGAGATGAGTCAACTGGTGAAGTGTTAAGTCTAGCTGGAAAAATCCGTGTGCAGGAAATGGGACACAAGTCACAGAGAACGAAACCACCCATGTTACAAGAAAAACGAGCAAAGTAAGTCGCGTATATTCCCATAGAACTTTCAGGCGTCAAAAACGCGATGAAACGCAACAGGACTCCTTAAAATTGAAAGGGGGCAGTTTACTAAATGATGACTTTGATGATATAGCAGGCATTATATACCGCCCGAAGACACCTGATACTCGTAAAACCTACGAATATATCTTGCATTGCATTCAGGAGGCTCTTGGTGATCAGTCACGTGAAATATTGTGTGGTGCAGCAGATGAAGTTATAGCCACTTCCAAGAATACTCATTTAAAAGATAAGGAAAAACGAAAAGAAACAGAATCGTTGTTGGGTAATGATATTTATATATATATGTACTGTTTAGGTCCTCTTGTTGATGAACGATACAATATAATTGTAAACTTGTGCAAGAAAATTACAGACTGGAAAGAGGAAGAACCTGCATCTTCAGCAAATCCTAATTTCAATGACAGTATTGATCAAACGTATGGTGTGAATGTCCAGTTTGAAGAGTCTGACCATGAGGTATGTTTCACAAATACTACACAGTTCCCTTATTTCGAATTATAAACCATGCAACACCCCTTATTTTAGTCATAAACCTGATATAAACCATATACAAAAGAGAAAGCGTCTGCTGCCTGAGTACTCAGAGCAGATTTATTCAGGTTCGAGGCTATGAACCACCGCGTTGCACAGGCTAATGTGGCTGAAGCTGACTGTTAAGTGCCAGTATTTCACGTACTCCTGTGACGTTACAACATGCTTAATCAACCATGTATCGAAGTAAAAATTGCAGGGTGTGCTGCTTGGTGACTAACTTGGGCCGGCAGGCTGCACAAAAGTGTCTTTAATGCAAAGTCGTATAACCGCTGACAACAGCATTATTTATTCCCTTCGGTAGTTTCGTGGTAGTTGATAAGATTACCCGCTCAAAACAGTCATTTGTTGTGTTGGCTCATGGTGTTCCTGAAATGATTTTCTTTTACAGAGATTATTTATTAATCTTATCAGGAGTATCTTCTACTAGTCTCACAAAACACCTGACTGTGAAGTACCGTTTTGTGTGTAATTATATCAAGCGCACATAGTGACAGTGACAAAATGAAGCATCCAGGTCATTAGATGTTATATTCATTTACTGTCATCCCGGGTTTAGACAGATTTTTATCAAGTTTTGATGGATCAAGAAGCAGAAATCAATAGTCTTAGTGGTGTTTGTTATGATTTGTATACATACGTTTACTTTCCTTAGAGTTGTCGATAAATTAGCAAAAGCAATCGAGTAACATTTTGTATCACGGTAGATAAGTGTCTTATTGAAGTAGTTACACTCACTCCTTTACTCAGTATCATGGGCACTTTTTGTTTATCAACCCTCCATTTATATTTGCTTTCTCTTTTGTGTGTAGATTTTCAGAGGTACTTGTCCAGTATGCTTACCAGTCCCATGACAAACCATAATAAGTTTTGTTGAGTAACCGTGTTTAAGAAAGAACGTAGCTGAGTAACTGAGTGCTTCCAATAATTTACAGGTTGGAAGAGGCATAGCACATCGTGTGTCTAGTCTCTCCAGAATTTCATATTTTTGTTTCAGTAACTGGTTGGATTCTAATTAATTCTAGTATTTCCGGTATGGACTCAATTAATTCTGTATGTTTGAAGATTTTTTCTTTCATCTGTGTACAAGGATTTTCGTTTTTCCCATTTCGGCCTTATATTCTGAATGTGTAGCTCTATCAGTTATTGCTTTTGGCACATGATTCCCTGACAGGGATTGTGGATCTGAATATCTCCCAGGTATTATGGAAGCTCTTTGTTGCGCGTGGAATCTCTTCAAAAGTTGATCCGTTTACTTCGACAACTGGGTGTCGGTAGTATCCAGTTAACTTAGTCAACTACTCGATGCACCATAGGACGCTAAAAATGGCTCATAGAAATTCACAATAATGTAGGGTGGTTGTTACTTCGATTGTAAGCATTATCTGAAAAAGTTGGGAAACAATGGGCTGCATGATCTATTGGATTCTACCCACTTCCAACAGTTTTTAACTAAACACAGTGCTATCTAATAATCTTATCACTTCTCCATTTTTTCGAATTAGTCTTGACAGTGACGATTCGAAAGCTGCTAGGATGATATCAGTGACACATACAAAAAGAGCACAATTGTCTACCTCCTGAAAGGATTTCGCTTACTAAAATACTATTTTGATGTTAGACCTGAGAACGCCTTATGCTAAGTTGCAATTGGGTGAAAATAGTTCTAAAGTAACAGCGTTAACCAAATACATCTAGTTACTGAATTTTTTTTAATTTGGAGGCTAGGTGGGAGCCATCATTCAACGACCACGTACACGTTTGGGCTTCTGTAAATACTCGATCAGAGTATCCACCACTTTGATGCGATCCTATTGTTCTCTTCAGAGATAATTCATTTATGCGTTTTGAAATTCACAAAATGTGGAACTAGCCATTATTTAATTCTACTGGTGACAAATTGCTCGATAGTTGTCATAAATTAAATAGGCTCTTGAAGGTGATAACAGTAATGTTTTCACCTTTAATTGATGGGTCACAGACAATCGATCTTGTGACTTAGTTCATGAGTCCTCCTCTAACTAAGGCCGGTTGTGATTTGTGTGAATCAGGCGTCATGTGGCACTTCAGTACTTAGTGTGCACTTTGAATTCTCACTGTATAAGCCAGGTCTGTGTCAACCGGTCGTAAAACAGCGTTAGAGCCGAGGACTTTTTGTGGTTAGTGTGAATTGCTCTTTGTAGTAGCTTTCCCAGCATTCTGTTCGACTGTTTGCTAGTCCGTATACCGCGTTTCTCAGACTGCCCCATAGATTCCAGTTTTCGTGCTAATAGCACACTGAATACATAGAAACCATTTCCAATGTTTGGCCACCATAAACCCTTGCGGTATTTCATCAGGTGACTCTTAGACACTATTTTACCATTAAGGGAGTCTTGACCTAATATGATTGCAAGAAGCTTTGGAAAATCCGCTTTCTGCCATCAAAGTGTTTTCCCACGCACTGGCGCTGTTGATAGCTGATTACATTATGGTGTATGTGTAACTAGACAAGAGGAGGATGTGCTGAGCGATGTAACGGTAGTCACAATGTGAGAATTTTCTGGAAATAAATTGTGTTCTGTACGAAAAGGTGAAAGAAAAGCGCATAATCAACAAGACAACTTCACAACTATTTATTATTATTGCTCCCTTGGGTTCCTAGTGGAACATAGGGCTTCAACTGCACGTCTCCATTTGCTTCTGTCTTCTGCTGTACTTATCACCTGCATCCATGTTAGTCCATACTGTTTCAACTCCTCTCTCTTCACACAATCTCCTCCATGTCACCCTTGGACGTCCCACACGCCGCTTCCCTTTCGGGTTCCACTCGAGGGCTTGACGCCCGATGTCGCCCAGCGGTCTCCTCAGCGAGTGACCGATGCATCTCCACTTTCTCCTGCATATTTGTTGGGCGGTTGGTTCTTGTTTTGCTTGTTCCCAGCCAGAGTTTCTTGTTGGTGATTCTTTCTGGCACGGCCATCTGATCTTCAGTATAGAGCCAGCGAAGACAGTTAGTTGTTGATAAAGGTCTGCAACAGGCTGTTGGAAATATTCTTTGTGGCCCGCCCGCCAAGTTTCTCATCCGTATAGAAGAACTGACTTTACGTTGTTTGTATTGAAAATCCGACTGAATTTTGTTGTTGGAGCTGAGTGACGAAGATTTCCAGATTGATTTCAGGTTGATGAGTGTGTTTCTCGCCTTCCCGACTCTCGATTTGACATCCTCGTCCGTTCCGACTTCCTGTAGTTGAGACAATGCTCAATCCCAGATAAGTGAATGAAGTAACCTCTTTCAAATCCCTCCCGTTGATGGTGATTGGCGCTGGGTGTTGCTGCTGTTGTTGTTGGTTATATTCATAACCTCCGTCTTGTCTATGTTCACTTGGAGTCATGTCTTCGCCGACTGCTTCTTCGACTAGTTTGTCGGTTTTCGCTTGTAAGTCTTCAATTATGTGTGACATCAAAGATAAATCATCCACGCGCGAAATCCAGGTCTTCTAGGTTCTTCACGTCGGTCCAGACGGGATATCCCTGTCTTCTCGTTTCCCACTGTTTGACGCATAATCCAGTCAGTCCACCACAATTAGGAATATCATTGGTGATAATAGGCAGGCAGCCTTGTCTGACTCCTATGTTTACTCCAAACGCCTCACTGAGTTTTCCGTAGTGGATCACTTAACATGTGCCGTTGTCGTACAGCTGTTAAATAAGGTTGATGAATATTTGGGGTACGCCGTAGTACTCGAGTAATTTCCAAATTACTTCATGATCAACGTTGTCGAAGGCCTTCTCAAAGTCTATAAAGTTCAGGTAGAGTTAGGTTTGATTGCCATTCCATGCTTTGTTCGATGATGATGCGTAGTCACAACTATTTACTAATGTATTATAGTTGACTATATAAAACATCATTCTCTAAGCCTGCATATTCGATTTATGCAACCAACAACAAGAGAATACGATATCTGTCAACCACAATTGATTGAATATACTCAATTAATAGCTGAACGTATGTGTAATTGTCTAGTAACTCCGATTCATCGGAAATTACTAATACAGACTCCTCGAATAAACCCACATGTAGGGTAGCTTTCCAGCTGACAGATGGACAATTAATTCAAAGCTGTTGACTGAAATTCATCTGGTGTTTCAGGTAGAATTCAATTTGCCAATAGATTTCTTAACCCTCGCAGTTAATACTGACAACACAGTCTGAGCTTAGCTATAGTTAAACACAAGTGACTTGCATTCACACATCGCCTACTTTTGAAATGCAAAGATATTGCTTGAGTACAACACGAACTGATACAATGTAGTTGTCCTTCGAACAAAGACAAAAATATACCGGACAGTATTGAGGTTTAGTGTGTTATGTTTACCTATAGCCCTAAGTGGTAGGTGCTTAACTGTCTGGTCACATGGTCGTCTGGTTATTGGTCATAGTCAATATTGCTTGATGTGAGATAAGAAGGATGTCAACTGAAAAAGAAATGCACCTACTTCTGGATTCATTGTTTTGTTTGCATTTGCTTCGTTTCTTTCGAGTTAACTTTGCCAATTAAACATTTTGGTTTTTAAAATGTATTTCTTTTGGTATAGGATGAAGAGGATGCTTTTGGTGAAATTAAGGACGAAGAAGATGATGATGAGCCAGAAGGAGATGAGGCTGCAGTAGAAATGACCCTGCAATCCCGAAAAAATGAATCACTTAGTACTACTCATCAAAATACCGAAAGTCTACATCCACGTGATATTGATGCATTTTGGTTGCAGCGTAATCTTGCTAAGCATTGTAAGGTTAGTTTCAACTGACCATATAAAAATAGAACTGTCAGTAACCTTTTAGTATTGATGTAGGCGGGGTGTATTGCAAAAGGGCTAAGACGATCTACAATACACATATCTGTCATTTTAAATACGTGTGTGGGAGAGTTTTGCTCCTAGCCATGGTTTCAACGCACCTTTCTTGAAGATATATTTTTACTTTTTTGTGATATTTTGCGCTGTTGTTATGTACTTAATATTCCCCTTTAATTATTTCTATCGAATGTTACGTCTGCAGAATAATAGTCGAAAATGTTTCTCATATGGATGCTTTAAGTGCTTAGAAGAAACGTAACAGATAATTTAGAAACGATCTTACAACGATGCTTTATTTCTTCTTATAATTATAAAATGTCAGTGAGGTTTAGCATTTTAACTAAGCGCACAACATGCTGACGCCTTTATTGCAGAGGGTTGGGAAGGGAAAGTGCTCACTGACGGGTGGAAAGGCTATCTTGTCAAGCTGCCAGATAAGGGCGACTTATTCTTCTGCAAGAACTGGCGTGGAATAATTTTCTTGTTCACACCAAACAAATGCTCAGTCGCATCATCTTGGAGAGAATAAATGATACACTGGCTGCAGAAATCCACCAATCTCGAACAAGCTGGGTTCAGCAAAGGTAAATCATGTGTTGATCAAACTGCGACCCTATGCATCATCATCAAACAAAGCACAGGGTGGCAGTCAAAAACCTCTACCTAAACTTCCTTCTTCAGCTTCGAAAAGGCCTTCGACAGACAGTGTTGACCAAGAGGTAAGTTGAAAACTACTTCAACACCACGACATGCAGTGACCAAGTCTTTATCAACCTCATTCAACAGCTATATGACAGTGCTACCTGTCAGGTGATCCACAACGGAAAACTCAGTGAGGCGTTCGAAGTGAATGCAGGAGTATGACAAGGCTGCCCATTACTATCACCTATGATGTTCCTAATTGTGGTGGACTGACTGGATTATGCGACAGACTGTGTGTTGGGAGCGAGAAGACAGTAAGACCGACAGGAAGACTCTAGAAGATCTGGATTTCGCAGATGATGTATGTCTAATATTACGCAGACTCCAACACTTGCAGGTGAAAAGCAACAAACTGGCTGAGGAGGCAGGCAGGAGGCGAAGACATGACTCCAGGTGAACATAGAGAAGACGGAGGTGATGAAGATAACCAACCAACCAACCAACGGCAAAGATTTGACAGAGGTTTCATCCTTCACATATCTGGCTAGGAAGCATGATCTCAGCCACAGGACACAAGAATGGATGAAGATGTCAAAGCTAGGGAGAAGTGAAAAGTCAAGATGCACCTTGGTAGACCTTAAACCAGTTCGGAAATCCCATTTTCAACACCAATGTCAAGTCGATCCTTCAAGCAGGGTCAGAAACATGCACTGCGTGTAACGGGAAGAATTTCCAACAGATTGCAGACTTTTATCAACAGTTGTCTTCGCTCGCCCTATATTAAAGATCAAATGGCCAGGAAGAATCGGCAACAAGAAACAGTGGGGACAAGCCAACAGTCGAGAGCCGATCGCTCAACAAAGGTGTAGGAGAAAATGGAGATGGGTCGCACATACACCGAGGAGACCGTGGAATAACATCTTACGCGAGGTCGTCCAGTGGGATTCAAATTAGAAGCGACGAGTGGGTCGTCCTATGGTGACATGGAGAAGATCATGTGTCAAGGAGGAAATGAGAGAGTTTGGTCAATCGTGTACCTAGCTGAAGAGGACGGCAGAAAATAGAACGAAGTGGAGATGTGTTGTTGAAGCCCTATGTTCGACTTGGAACTCAAGGGAGTAACAATAATACATAACAAGTATCTACTACTTCATAGACATTTATATTCTTACATGTTGGATATGGCTGCTCTCACCAAGATTCACTCAGTTGTACCAGAAACTGTTGACTACACAGTATTAAAAATGTGGTTAGCAGTCTAATTCGCCTAACATTCACATGCTAAGTTCCGATTTTGAACAATCAATAACCAGTAAATGTGAGGTTGTATCTTTTTTATCATTCGTTTTTGATTTTAATAGCTTTTACTTTAAATGTTTCTCAGAAATGTTGAGTAGTATGCATTTATGCGAAGATTTACACAATTTCACAAAGTGATCAGACTATAAGAAGCAATCACTTAGTGGACCGTGTCAATATGGCTTAAGGTTTTGTTTTTCTACCTATCAACTTACATAAGAGCATACCCACTATAAGGGTTTTAATACATTTCATATAATTAGGCGTTTGCCGAGCTATTATGCGGTTTTTCTGCTTGTTCATCTATTGAAGCAGACACTAGCTCCAATAAATGATTCAGGGGGTTCAACGCTGATTCTGTCTAGTAAGATATGCATGGTATTTCTCACTGTTCTTGATAAATGAGTACATATGTGTCAGGTAAACTGCTGGTTTAGCATATTTTTATTCGTGTATGTATTAAGCAGTGAGTGCAGAGAGTGGTTCAAAAGACATAATAAACAAGTGTGAGGCAAAAAGAACAATAATACGGAAAAACAACAGAGCTTTATTGGATACGACAAAAAGTGAATGCATCTGCGCCAGCCATTGTTTTTTACTTTCCCGAGGACCCCAATTAGTCAGGAAGTCTACACCTTCCTACGTGGCTGGCTGGCTTAAGCTAACTGTTGTGGATTTCATTGACTGAAGCCATGTTTTGGTTTGACCAGTACTGACTGTTTTCCAACCTGATCCTATCTATGTCAGCTAACATTTCCCGTCGAGGAAGGCGATGACTGGGGATGCATGGATAACACATGTGCTAACCATCTTAGACGATCTAAATCCACAACCTCATCGATTGATTTCTCCTCCTTACCTAACATTTAACCGACTCCTAACGTCACTATTGCTCACTCTATGACGTCATCTAACACCTAAGATAGAATACAGACACCTGTGATCAAAGACAACTACCCAGGCTTTTCATATCTTCCACTTTCAATGGTCATGTCTCGCTCACAACCATAAAGGAGGACGGAGCGAACTTTTGAGCAGTACACATGTCCTCAGGTTGACAGCCGAATATCGCCGAAGGCGTAATTTAGCACTGTCAGTTGATAAAGTTGTATCGATTAGCTGCTGTTTCATTGGTTAGAGAGCAAAATAAATAATGAAGGGAGTATTTTTTAAAAATTAATGTATAATTATCAGAATACTCATTTTCTACCATATTTCATTTGTGTTTTCTCTTCCTCTTACTTGCCTTCCATCTATATATATATATATATATATATATATATATATATATATTGTACATGTAATTTTCATTTTTTTGTTGTTAAATATGATAGGATCCAGTACTTGCTCAAGCTAAAGCTCGTGAGTGTTTGGACATCCTTCAGTCAGCTGCAGATGATAGAGAATTAGAAAATCGTCTAGTTCGTGCTTTGAGTTATGAACAGTTTGATTTTGTTAAAATTTTGCGTAAACATCGTCTCATGATTTTACATTGTATCTTACTGGCACAAGCACAAACTATACAAGAACGTAGTCAGCTAGAAGCGAAAATGCGTAGTGATCCTGTACTAGCTAAAGTTTTGCATGAATTAAGAGAAACAGAAAATTCAACAGATCTTGTAGCTGAAGAACGTCAAAGAAAGAATGTTCAGCGTGTTGTTCGCGTTCAAGTAAGCAGGATTTCTATTTTTTTCTTCTCCGATATTATTTTGGCATGAATAAGTTTTGTACTCGTAATTCATTTCTCAGAAATAATTGTTATCCATTGGAGTATCTTAGTGATAGGTGTTCTGTTGGGACAATTCTCTGTAGGAAACTGCAGTGGAACGGTTGCTTTTTTGTTAGTGTCCTAGGCATAGTCAATAGCCAGTGTGACTGTATAGGCCTCTGTGCCACGCCATAAAAACTACAATAATCCCGAAAATTCGCGGGAGCTCCACACTTTTGTATACTTTCTTATGTTGAAAATGAAGCCTTTCAGTTGAGTTTTTTTTGGTCACAGGATTTCATCATGAGCTGAATGTGAATGAGATGCTCACTGGCGAATGGCCCTATTCAGGTAGGTAGTTACCTGGGGTTTTAATAGGAAGTCGTGACCATGTCGGGTGTAAGGACAAATACTCGCCGAAGACATTGGCTAGCGGTTACGCTATATAGTGAATTGGCAGAAGTTAGAATTCATGCACTGGTCATTGGATCGGGTCCTAGTGGCTTAGTGGTCTACAAGCTCGCCTTGTAACCAGAAGGTCCTGGGTTCGAACCCTGGCGGTAGGTGCGTAGTAATAAAGAGTCTCAAACTAGGACGAAACAGCTGTCCAGAACTACCAGATTTTTCAATGGTTCTCTAACTAATGTCAGCTCATGATAACATCATGTAACCAATCAGCCCAATCCCTATAAACCAATACTTGAATATGCGAGTTTTTTGTTAGTTGGTCGTTTCGCATCGTTAACACCTTTTCTGTCGCGTTATGTTTTTTTTTGTTCTGGACATCTCAGCAGAGCATAGTTTAATTGCCACCTAATAAGTGGAGTAAATTTTGAAATCTGGTCAAAGTATAATTTTAATCACATTGAGTGTTGATCGTAATTTGGTATTCCCTTCAGTGAATTTTTTTGATGTGAACTATCTAGTGTGATTTATAGACAACTAAATTATTCGTTTAATTCCTCACTAAATAAAAAGTGTAAGGTAAGGGGCTATGAGGTATTATTATTATTATTATTATTATTAACAGGTCAGTTGATGAGATGAGTGTCAAGCTCATGGTCTGTACAATTGGAATTTTTGGTGTCACTTCAATGTTTCAAACTGAGCTGCGACTGAATTTGAAGTGTACGAGTCAAAGATAAGTGAGACAAGAGCTGACTGACGGCTTCTTCAGATTCAGATTTCTTGATTCAGGACAGAAGGCTTCAAACATGTGCTAGTCCTTTTCTAGTAAGTATCTATGCTTGTCTGATCCCTTCTTGAATGATTCGGTTGAGGACTCAGGTACCACTTCTTTTAGGAGCTGGTTCCAAGAGTTTATGGCTCGGAGGGATAACCAGCACTCCACGGCGATATAGTTCTTTCTTGACTTTTGAACTCGTCTGCTATATACTTTGAGTTGTTCTAACCTGACAGGGAAAAAAAGAGAGAGTAGATCAGGACCATAATGATTTCTTAGAATTTTCAACATGGCAATAAAGTCTCCTGTCTACCTAGGATATGATAAGGAGAAGAAATTCAAGCTTTTAAGTTTCTCCTTGTATGATAAATTAGTTATACGAAGAATCTTAAGTATGACCTTCCTTGTATAAGTCCGCCTTAAGACATGGGATGGCTGTCTGAATGCAGTTCTCCAGATTTGATCTCATCAGAGGTGTATATAAAGTAATGAGCATTTCACTGGTAATTCTGGTCAACCCTGTGCGTGTTACCCATAGTGATCTAAAACTTCGAGCTGCCACCATACGACAGAGTGCTGTGGTCTTTAGGTCTAATATGGAGTAATGGGAGTGGTACTTCCCTTTAGTCATATGAGTTTACATTTGCATGCCTAGTACGCATGGTTGCTCACTTCGCTACGTCGATTAAGAGCATCCATTCTTTGGACAAATTTAACAGTTTCTTGAGATCTTCTTGCAACTTGAACATGTCGTCATTACTCCAGGGCTGTCTCCAAATTTTTAGATCATCTGCATAGAGAGCCATAGAAAACTCAATGACCCCAGGCAATTCTTTCTTATACAAGATAAGTAAGAGGATGCCTAATTACGGTGCCTTGTGGTACTCACCCAAGGTGGAGTGTCTTCAGTTGATCCTTACTCTATCTTCTACCTGTTTTTAGCTAATTAACATTAATTTTTATAACAAGTAGCATTATTACTATTATTATTATTATTATTATTATTATCATTATTATTTAAATGTAGGCTGATATGGAGCAAGAGAGTATGGAAGAAGAAGGAATTCAATTGTCTGAAGATGGTGCTATTGGCGTGGCAAATATTGTTGACTTAGAAGGTTTAGCCTTCTCTCAAGGTGGACACTTAATGGCTAATAAAAGATGTCAATTACCTGATGGTTCATTTCGTAAACAGAAAAAAGGTTATGAAGAGGTGCATGTACCAGCTTTGCGTCAAAAGACTTTAGAATCAGGTGAAACTTTAATAAAAATTGAAAAACTTCCTGCTTATGCACAAGCTGCTTTTGAAGGCTGTAAAACACTCAATCTTATACAGAGTAAATTATATCATGCTGCTATGGAAACGGATGAAAATTTACTACTCTGCGCGCCAACTGTTAGTCTCCATTATTTGCTTATTTTTACAGTATTCTTTAAATTATTTCTATTTATTTATTTATTTGCTTGGTTATCCCAAAGAAAGTATTGTTCTGCAGGAGTATTGCTTAATGCTCATTGACATATTGTTTCAATTTGACTAGTTGTATGGTTTTACTTACTTATAGCTGAACTCTCAAGGATTAATTTCCGTACTGAATTGTATAAAATTGACCAATATTCCGTAAAATGGTCGATATCGCCCCCTTTTTTTTGATTAGAATACCTTACTAATGATGGTAGTAGTACTGAAAAAGTCATTTTCCTTTCAGGATTTCGCTGCAACTGTAGTAAAATGAAAGTATTAGGCGGTATTATTCAAAGTGAGTGCGTAGGTGAGTAATGGCATACGATGTAATGGTGTATGGTAGATAGACGACTGGAACGCTGGAAAGAGCACTATGAGGAGCAGTTTAATTGGCCCACAGACACGCTCAACCTGCCGAACATCCAACACCTCCCTGAATGGGGTATAGACACAGGTCCGCCGTCCTTAACTGAGGTTACTAAGGCTGTCACTAATCTGAAACAAGGCAAAGCAGCGGGACCTGATGAAATGACTCCAGAGGTATATAAGTACGGTGGAGACAGTTTATTGTCTGCATTAACTGAGGTACTAGGCAGCGTCTGGGAATCAGAAGAAGTCCCATCGGGTTGGTGTAAGTCACTGGTTATCCCCATATACAAGAAGGGAGACAAGTCTTCCTGTGATAATCACGGAGGAATTAGCTTGACTAATATAGTATCTAAAGTCCTAGGCTCAATAATCATGCGTAGACTAAGTGGTACTCGGGAGGCACAAACACGAGAAAGCCAGGCAGGCTTTAGACCTGGAAGAAGGTGTTTTGATCATATCTTCACCCTCCGACAGATTCTAGAACATAGGAATTCCTACCGGCGTCCAACAGTCATTATATTTCTTGACCTAAAGGCGGCCATCATTCGATTCTGTCGACCGAGAGGTTCTCTGGAGATGCTTGGCTGTAAAGGGAATCCCGAGAAAATATATTGCACTGATTAAGGCATTCTACTCGTACTCATGCTGTCAGCCAGGTGAGGGCTTACGGCGAGTTGTCATCTAAAGTGGTGACGACTAGCGGTGTCCGTCAAGGATGCCCATTATCCCCTTTTCTATTCAACTTCATCATAGATGTGTTAATGGACTTAACCCTAGGTGACTTCAGCGACTCAGGGATTGACTTGCTACCAGGGGATAATCTCGTTGACTTAGAATATGCAGACGATATAGTCCTCCTTCCTAGGTGAAGACGCTGAAAAAATGCACAGTCTTCTGAACACCTTGAGCTGCAATCTACGAATGTTTGGCATGGGATTCGCCCACGCCAAATGTAAGATGGTGCTATAGGACTGACTGGACTACACTGACTCCTAGTTTAGAAATAGGAAGTGAAGTAGTTAGTGGAGCGTGTTTGCCACTTATTTGGGAAGTTGCATCAGCCAGTGCAAACGGGTTTATCTCTGACGAAATCTCAGCACGGATACAGAAGGCTTGTTTCGCATATGCCAGTTTACGCCGTCTCTGCCCTAGTAGAGGTGATATCCGACTGGTTATCGACCAAAGGGCGGGTGTGCTGCTCAACAGTCCGCTCCGTCCTCCTTTATGGCTGTGAGCGAGAGATGGCCATTGAGAGTGGAAGACATGAAAAGATGAGCTGTCTTTGATCATAGGTGCCTGCGTTCTATCTCCCGTGTGAAGTGGTATAATACGGTGAGCAATTTTGAGGTTAGGCGTCGAGTTCTAGGTAAGCAGGGGAAATCAATCGACGAGGCCGTGAAGTTACATAGACTGAGATGGTTGGGACATGTGTTACGCATGCATCCCCAGTCATCGGCTTCCTCGACGGGCAATGTTAGCTGACATACGGTCAGACCGGAAAAGAAGCAGTGGTGATCAAACCAAAACATGGCCTCACCAGTCAATAAAATCCACGGCTGTCAGTTTAAGCCAGCCACATAGGAAGGTGTAGACTTCCTGGTTGGGATCCTCGGGATGGTAAAAACCAATGGTTGGAAACAATTCGGGACATGGCTCAAATCGTTGTCAATGGCTGGTGCAGATGCATCCACTCCTTGTGACTTATGATTTCCAATGAAACTGTTTTGTTCTTCGTTATTACTCTTCCTTTGTATCACACCTCTGTTTACTGTCTCTATTATGCTTTTCTTGTATTTTCCTCTCTTGCTTTGCATGCTACATGCAGAGAGTGTGGCGATTTGAACTGCCGCACATCAGTGCAAAGTTCTATTTCGAAAACAGGCAGACAGACAGATAGACAATGGCATACGGTATTCATAAGAAGAAGAAATAATTAGTAGTCTGGGATGTTTCTAGAGATAGGCTTCTCACTGGCTCAAGCAGTGCATTCCAGGTTCGAATCCCGTTTCGTCTCCTTCAACCTAGACAAATATACAGTTTTATCATAGTAGACTCCCACAAAATAAATATGGCTAATTTAGCCTGGAACATAAAGGAACCTGTTCCATTCAAACAAACACTCAACATGTTATCATAACGTGTCATCAATCCCGTTCAGCAATCTCTCTCTCTGCGTATATTCCTCCCCTTTAATATTTTCATGATGTTACTCGCGGTTCTTAGTTGAAAGGAGTGATTATTTTTAATTGTGTATGCCTGTGTAGTATTATTATATAAAGTGTTGATGTTTTTTATCCCTAATTGATTTTATGTATAATTTGATTTAAGCTATATGTGTATAGTTGTCATAGTTTCATATTGTTTTCTTTTCTCTCCTTTTTTTTCTTTTTTTACAAATTAAAGGGTGCTGGAAAAACAAATGTAGCTTTATTGTGTATTATGCATGAACTTGGCAAATTCATTAATCCTGATGGAACAATTAATAAAGATGAATTTAAACTAATCTACATTGCTCCTATGCGATCATTAGTACAAGAAGTTGTTGGAAATTTTAATAAGGTAACATTTATTGACAAGTTTTTGTTTTAAGTATTATATTTTTCAAATGAACTATAGTCAAGATTTGACAGAATAGTTCTAAAATATTTGGGAGCCGAGTGAGAAGTAGACATTTGTAAAAAATTATATTTATAAAAACTCAGCGATACTGAAATGAGTAATTCCAACGTTTCCAGCGTTCGGCAATCTGGTCCAAACTTCTTCAGGGAAATTAATCGGAATTAACTAACATAACAGAGGTTTATGCATAAAAGGAACATCTCTTGTTTTTAAAAACTTTGTCCAATCATGAGTCATAAAACAAATATTAACAAGTATAATCAACAAAATTGTATGAGTTGTGATTAAAATTTGACCTCAGATTTACAAATCTTGATCTACCTTTGTTTTTGTTCCTTTTATATATAAACCTCTGTTATGTTAATTTCGATTAATTTCCCTGAAGAAGTTTGGACCAGATTGCCGAACGCTGGAAACGTTGGAATTACTCATTTAAGTATCGCTGAGATTTTACAAATATAATTTTTTACAGATGTCTATATTATGTTTTTGTTTATTGTTATGCATAGGCGACACGATCAAATTCACCACCTCAGTGTTCTTGGTTGTACGTTTGTGATTCCTTTACAACTGTACAGTATACCTGTCATTACAATCTCAGGCAGGCCAAGGTAATTCCATTATGGAGAAAATTGATTTCGATAAGGTCTGACAGTGTTATACAGCAATATTTGACGATGATGACGTTTCGAGCATAATTTATTACTGCTCATAATCATATCAGGTTACTCGCACAACTTTCTGACTTTGTTTTTATAATGCCATTATTTCTCATCTCTTGATTTGATTGGTAGTCGTATTTTTATATCTCTGGTATTGGTGATTAATCATTCCTACTGCGTGTGTTGGGTGTAGATCTGACGAACAAAGATTTAGCAATCAACCTCTCTCTACCTATCTATATTACTTTTTGGAATTTTGACTCCATCTGACCCTATTGTGTGGTTGTGTGTTAATGCATGCAGTACGATCGCTGAGATTTTTTCTAAATTACTCATTTTCGTGGGTTCAGTCATTCTAAACTTAGCTAAATTCTTATGTCCTGGTAATCTGACTACCTTCGATCGAATGGTTCAACCTATGTAGTTGACCTCACAGTCATTACAAGGTGTTTTGTAAATTATATTATTTTGTTTAATTGGGTCCACTGGGTCGTTTAGTCTATAGAGGCTGTGTATGAGTGAGTTTGTAGGTTTGAATGTCACTCAAATCCCAGCTTTATTAAGAGTTCTACGTAAGCTCTTAGATGTCCCCTCCTTGTATGATGAAACTGTATAGGCCTTACATTCTTTCTCATTTATGTTATCACTACTAGTTTCGCAATTATTTTTATTTTGCTTTTGACCTTTTTCGATCTTAGGGAATTTTATGGGACAGCTATTTAACGGCACTGCTTCTTCTAATCTGTTTCATTTCGGTTTTTTGGTGCACTCACTAGTGTTATTGCTCAGTTCGCTAGACATTTAACTAAGCCAGCCTTTAACAGGCAAGGGATGAGATGAATTAAAGTCTAAATATCTATTGCCATCTGTTCTTTTCTGATAAACGTTAGTGTATAATTTGCCTTCTTCTGTTCGCTTTATTTTACAACTCTCCTAGTTCATATTCTAATTCAGATGTGAATTTTGTTCCCTTTACCACTCAGTTTGTGTGTGTCTGTGTGTGTGTGTGTGGAGAAACTAGAGATACCAGAGATATGGAAAATATTACTACCAATCAAATCAAGAGGTGAGAAATTATTATTTATTATTACTATATCCTTTAATTCCTAGAGGAACATAAGGCTTCAGCTGTCCACCTCCATTGCCTTCTGTTTTCTGCCAACCTTTTCACTCCTCTCCAAGTCTGCCCACATGCTTTCATCTCCTCCTCACATGACCTCCTCCAAGTCATCCTTGCATTGATGAACAACTCGCCGCTTCCCTTTCGAGTTCAACTCGAGAAATGGCTTGTCTAGTGATGTCACTTGATGGTTTCCTCAGCGTATGGCCAATCCATCTCCATTTCTTCCTGCCTATTTGTTTCGCAATCAGTTCCTTCTGGGTTGGTTCGCTCCCAGAGATCATTGTTGCTGATCATTTCTGGCCATCTGATCTTGAGTATTGAGTGAAGGCAACTGTGAATGAAGGTATGGAGTTTGTTTGAGGTGCTCTTTATGACTCGCCAAATCTCTGATCCGTATAGTAGCACTGACTTCATATTGGAGTTGAAAATCCGGATGTTATTTTTGATACTGAGTGCTGTTGACCTCCACACAGACTTGAGAGTAATGAAAGCTTGTCTTGCTTTGATATCCTCATCAGTTCCGTCTGCTTGTAGTTGAAACGATGCTTCCCAGGTAGGTAAAGGAGATGAGAAATGGTGAAATGATATAAGCAAAGTCAGAAAGTTGTGATGAATAACTTGATATGATTATGAGCAGTAATAAATTGTGCTCGAAACGTGGTCACTAGTAAATATTACTGTATAACATTTTGAAACTATCCATAATGGCGTTATACGCTACTACATTGCCCTAGTTCTATGCTTATATCACTGTTCAGGGTAGTATTGAATTGAAAGACTTATCATGATGTGAAATCGGTTATGATTAAATGTGAAGTAAAAACCTGGATTGGAGGAGAGATTAAAACTATTGGCATCCTAGTAACTGACTCATCGTTCTACCACTAACTAACTGTCAGGGGTAATATCTAACTGGGCAATTAGTGCAGTGGAAGACAGGCATTTACATGTCATTCATTGACAGCTGGGCATTACTCCTATTAAAAGTAGTAAGGTAGTGACCTAGTTATAACGCAACTTGATCGCATAGCTCAGTTTTCATCGCCTCAGGCGAATGATTCACGGATCTTAGGGTTCAAATCCTATCAAAACTCACATTTTCAATTTACCTTCAGTTAGACCATTACAGCAAAATGAAGTTAGAAAATAATGTCTGAATGAAATCCTGATCGTAATTCATGTAAATATATACTTGTTTGTATATTTCAAGTGGTCATTACCCATAGCCATTGTTTTGCTAGTTCAACAATAATTTTTGTTAGTTGTGGCGTCCACTCTATATCCTAGCTAACTTGACATGCTTTTTTGAAACAGGATAACGTATTTACCTTTCCAGTGCTGGATGATGATGTATACAGTCATTGTTTATCAGACTAATTTACCTAGTGTTATCCGTCTTCTCTAGGTCAATTCCTAGAAGTAGTAGGGATGCGAAATATTCACCACCCCCTGTCTCTCTATCTACCATGAAGAGTGTTCAACTGCTTGTTGCTTTCCTCGTCAGCTGTTCACATCTTTCTTCGTTTATGTAAACTACACTGACTGTCTTTGACAAGTTATAAAATCCTTAATAAGTGTCATGCATCTAGTGCTTGGTGCTAGCTCAGACTGAATTCTACCAGTCAAGTTTTGGCTCGCTATCATGATTGCTGCACTCTGAATTCATACTCTGTGGTTGGAAGCTATCACCAGGAAGTCATGGACTTTAATTCCATTCTTCTTGGCGCTTGTCAACCCTGGGTGACACGGATTTGTATCTCAAAGGAGAAATAAGTTCCTTCATGCTTACAGATACGCGTTGCTGACGGTTGCCAACAGGTGGGAAGCCTGTGGAAGTTCTGAGCTTTCATGGTGATTCCCTCCAATTAGCCTTCCGTTGATCAACTATTGTTAGATAGTTTAAAGTGATTCGACTTTCCTAGCTGAGTCAAACCGGGACACGTCGCTAAATGAGCTTGGCTGCAAACGCACGAATCCGCTGTTGAGTGTTTAGATCACCTCGATATGGCTAGCAAGCACTACTGTTTAATGTGATTGGTGTACAACTACTTATCTCAGCCATTCAGTAGTACATATTCTTTCGTAATATAAATTACAGTCTTTATTTATCAAGATCATGTTTATAATTAACAATATGTATATATATTTTTTCGCTATTTCTTATTCTAGTTGTTAAGCAGTTATGGTATTAAAGTTGATGAATTAACTGGTGATCATCAACTGAGTCGTGAACAAATTTATGAAACTCAAGTAATTGTATGTACACCCGAGAAATGGGATGTAATAACACGTCGTGGTGGTGATGAACGTGCCTACATACAATTAGTTAGATTAATTATCTTTGATGAAATTCATTTACTACACGATGATCGTGGTCCAATACTTGAAGCAATTGTTGCACGAACATTACGTGCTGTTGAAAGTACATCCGGGATAATTACATCCAGTGATATTGGAGGTGGTGGTGGTGTACGTCTTGTTGGATTAAGTGCAACACTACCAAATTATGAAGATGTAGCAACATTTCTACGAGTGGATTGTTCAAAAGGTTTATTCTATTTTGATAATAGGTTAGTATAATGTTTTTTTGTTCCTCTTGTTGTTGTTGTTGTTGCCGTTGCTGTTACAAAAATGGTTGTATGAACGATTTCATCATGAACTGACATCAGTTAGAGAACCATTGGAAAACTAGCTAGAAGTACTGGACAGCTGTTTCCTCCGTCCTAGTTTGGGACTCTTCATCAGTACGCACCCACCGGTAGGGTTCGAATCCAGGACCTTGTGGTTACAAGGCTAGCTGGTAGACCATTGAGTCACTGGGACCCGATCCAATGGTTCTTGAATTCCAACTTCTGTCAATTCACGATACAGCACGACCATTTCGCAATGTCTTCTTCGTAGTTATCACTAATCCTCTCCCTGCCATTGCAACTGATTGTTGATGGATGGCTACTTATATTTTATTTCTATTTTCTCAACAATTTCGATTTTCCCGTTCCGCTTCTGTTAACATGTCGACTCCGTAGCGTAGTACGGACGCGTCGACGTTATCTGAATATTAACTTGAAGTAATTTGGTGGAATCTAGCATGTGTATTTCATCCTGCTTGGAGCTCACTTGCCAGATGTACATGTAACTCACCAAGTGGGTGTTGGCGTTTCTACTGGGACTCGAACCTTGTACCGAAAATTCTCGACTCCAACCAATCAATGGGGGAAGTAAAATCGACTTGAAAATAAATAATCACTGGTGCCGGCGGCTGCACAGGTGGTGATCTTCGTGGCTAAAGTGGTCTGGTGGTTATCGCTTTGGCGTTCAAAACGATGGGTACTGGGTTAAAGTCTCAGTGGGAGAACGCTCAATTGCTGCGTTGTAGACTGCAGGTGCATCGTGGATTCCATGGCTAGTCACCATTCACTAAATCACTGTATTTCGGTTAGTTTGTATCGTTTAAAAGTAGATGTTTTTTTTGGAAAATATACAACAGTGTGTTAACTAAACGGTGTTCACTTTGAACCAGTTGGTCATTTATTCGTATCTCACTGCCAGCTAAAGAAGTTTTGAACAACTAGATAGCATCATCAGAGGCCTCAGTCACATGTGTGGTTCATTTCAAAGTGTGTGAAAATGCAAGTATATATACATATATTCAATAAATGTCCGATGTATGATTTTGGACTCTCATATCTCCTCTCTTTTTCTCTGGTACTGCGTCGGTGGCACAGCGACTCCCACCGACCATGCACATGGTCCAGGGTCCGATCCCCTGCCGACGCACACCCGATATCAATGGTCGGTCTGCAAAATTTGGGCTACCGATGTCACATGCTGAAAATTCCATACTTGTCCCAAAAATATGGTGTGGAATCAAGCTGTAATCAAAAAAGTTTTCTAAATAGTATTTGCTAGCATGAAAATAGTAATGATATGATATAATGGAGAAGATTTGCAGCTCAGGAGGATGATTTTGGTGTAGTGTGGTGAGAGCAGGCTGCTAGCCGATTGGTTGGCACTAATCTACGTTAAGGTCTAGGTCACTACTATGGGCCGTGAGAAAATATGAACAAGGCTGAGTCAACAACCAATCACAGCAAAGTTAACGTGGCAAAATATGATTCGCAGATAGAGAACTCTATTTGTCAAGGAATCCCGAAACAACCAATCAGAAGCCTGCGTTTGTCTACCTAACTTCTGATAAACAACCAATCAGATGACTGCGCTTGTCTATAATAATGTAGTTGAAATATGTATAAATACGTGTTGATTTTCATAATAAAACGATCTGTTGCCTGGCCCTTGTCTTCTGTTGTTACATTTGGTGTCGCTGCCTACCGACAAATGGAAAGCCTATGCCCTGCTGTTTTCGATGGAGACATATGGATCTTCGGGCAGGACTTCAAGGCTTCTGCGCAGTTGAGTGGCGTTCAAGATCTGTCAGCGATGGAGCTGCTACTTGGGACGCTGCGGGGAGGTCGGATGAAAGCAGCATATGAAAGTGTGAGCCGAAGTATGGACGAATGTTCGACAGGGTCAGGCAAACAGTTTCCAAAGTGGGAAGGACCATATATGGTCACTTCGAGATGGGGTTACGCAGACAAAGTCGCAATGGCGAACAATAAGAGGCGCGTGAACGTCAGCGAGCTCCAGAAATGGATACAGCGAGACAAGCCAACGATGACGCCTGCACCAAGTAGATCAAGCCGACTTCAGTCGCACGTATTTGACGGGGGGACGAGTGTGGTGAGAGCAGGCTGCTAGCCGATTGGTTGGCACTAATCTACGTTAAGGTCTAGGTCACTAATATGGGCCGTGAGAAAATATGAACAAGGCTGAGTCAACAACCAATCACAGCAAAGTTAACGTGGCAAAATATGATTCGCAGATAGAGAACTCTATTTGTCAAGGAATCCCGAAACAACCAATCAGAAGCCTGCGTTTGTCTACCTAACTTCTGATAAACAACCAATCAGATGACTGCGCTTGTCTATAATAATGTAGTTGAAATATGTATAAATACGTGTTGATTTTCATAATAAAACGATCTGTTGCCTGGCCCTTGTCTTCTGTTGTTACAGTAGTTGTGTCCTCTGAGCTGCATGACTTAGTTGTGAAGCTTTCACCGCCTTTCTAGACGACATTTTCAGCGCATACTCGTAATTGAAGTGAAGTCTACGCGCTTACTAATAATGTTCTCTGGTAACCTTGAATGTGATCGGTTATTTTAATGTACTTTCTCACACTGCAGTCCACTAGTATTGGGATCGATTGTTTCCTTGACCTGAAAGTTGGCCGACTTGATAAACAGCATCTTCAACGACATCGAATTCCCAAGAGAAGAGGAATCTGAGAATAAAGTTCCATTTGTAGACGTCTTAGTCAAGCAAACAACTACAGAAAAATCAGCAACTCAGGTATACAGAAAATCAACTCACATGGGTGGGATATTCAAAACAAACACAACCTAACAGCATATAAACAGAGTTACATACAGACGTTATTCAAGACAAGTAGGACTCATTGCAGCACTCCTACCTGGAGGAAAATTGAAGAAAAATATATGGTTACTGTCTACCAGAAAAATGGATATCGACGAAACTTCATCAAAAGATATCTCCCCTCAACCTAACTAACCATATTAAAAGTCCCCAGTGAAAAGACAAAGAAAATTGTACTACTATATATAATGAACATCTACAAAATCACTGCAAAACTATTGAAACCTTTTGGAATTCATGTTGCCTACAAATCAACAAAACCACTTCACTTGGCTCTCTGTGTCAACCAAAAGATTTAACATTTCCTACAAGATTAATTGCAATGACTGTGAAAGACATTACATTGGTCGAAGTGGATGCCATCTTTGTCTTCGCGACCATGAACATGAACTGACCGTTGAAGGACACGATATCCAATCCCTCATATCACTGCATACAGACAACCACAGACACTAATGTGATTGAAATTTTCAAGTCTTAGACAGAGGAAACACCAAAAACGCCAGAGAATTAATAGAAGCCTTCAATTGAAGTGAATCGGCTATCAACAGATACATAGACAAGGTTTACCAATCCATAGGAATGAAATCACATGAACAAAAGGTCAACTTTCAGGTCAAAGAAACAGTTGATGCGGACTGGAGGGTGAGGAAGTACACAAGACAACCAATCACATTCAAGTTTACTAAGAGGGATGACTACAATAAACTCGCGGAGAAATTTATAAGCTCACTTCAAAATAAGGCGTGCTCTGAAGCTGTTGTCTAACAAGGCAGTGAACTCTTCGCAACTAAACCATTCAACTCAAAGAACATAACTACACCAAAAAGTACTGATACGAGTACTTGAAGAGTAGCGTTTTGTTTTGCTTTGAAGCTTATTGTCGTTAATTACGGCGCAGTCTATACAGAACATAGTTCATAAGTTCATTAAGTGTATATGAAGTCTGTGTTCGTCGGTGTTTCGGCCGTGGTAGAAGGCTCACCAACAACGAATTTCGTAGTCTGTGGTTCGACTCCCGGCCAACGCACTCCTAAACTTCGCTTAGCTGGTAGTAGTAAAGCGGGTAAATAGGAAAGACTAGTTGTGAGACTGTCAACCTCACTACGTAAAAATATCAACACCATCGCCACTAAAACTTCAAAGCTTGATGCCTTATGTTCCACTGGGAACTCAAAGGAATTTAATGAATGATTGAATGATGAGTATCATCAAAGTATATCTGTTCTACGATCTCGCCTTGCAACCAGAGGGTCCTTGGCTTGAACCCTGACGGTGGGTACGTATTGAAGTAAAGTCCCAAACTAGAGTGAAACAGCTACCGAATACTCCCAGGTTTGCCAGTGGTTCTCTAACCGATTTCAGCTCATAATGAAATCCCGTAACCAATCAAATCAAATCCCTGCACACCAGCACTTGAATATCACTACTTTAGTGCATAATTTCAATTCGTTATAGACACATTTTTTTGTCATGACCTAATCTCAACCTTGCCTATTCACATTGTATTCCTTACTATATTTCTCCCATCTGTCTTGTATACAGTTACCGCCCTGTGCCGTTAGAACAACAATATATTGGAATAACTGAAAAGAAAGCTGTAAAACGTTATCAAATAATGAATGATATTGTCTATGATAAAGTGATGGAACATGCTGGACGTAATCAAGTATTAATATTTGTGCATAGTCGTAAAGAGACGGGGAAAACAGCACGTGCTCTGAGAGATACATGCTTAGAAAAGGATACACTTGGTATATTTATGAAAGATAAAAATGCCTCTGCAGTTGTATTACGTCAAGAAGCTGAACAAGTAAGATTTCTTTTTCTTTCTTTTTTTCAAACATACATTTTATCCACAAGATTGTATTGCATAAACGACTTGGTTACGGCTTGAGGGTGGGTAAACTTTGAATTGCCTTTTGAAATGCTCTTATGTGGCCACGTGTTCGTAGTCTCTGCCAGATAAGTCCTTTTCACTGCCTTCACGTGGTGAGGATGTTCTTCATAAAATTAAAAGGGTGAATGTGAACGTGTGGCGCTTATAACCCGACTGGTGGATATGCTAGTTTACTTAGGGAAGCTGGAAACCTTGATTCCAAACCTATTTTGTCCAGAATCTGAACGGCTTAAGTGGCGTGTGAATCTAATTTCGGCACTGGAAACCATGGGAACAAGCTCCTGACACTACTTCATTGCCTCGTGGATTAGTCAAAGGCCCTAGAGAACAATGACCCTTTAACGCAATCTCCCGCTTCTGTCTGGGCAATATCTGTTATGTACTGCTGCGGAGTGAGTTATTAGAGTTTTCCCCGTCGCCAATTGTTATGTACTCGTCAAGTAGTTAATAGTCCTGACGCGGAAAGAGGGAAATCAGAAGACCACAAGGTTTACGACGATACTTGTATTTTCCAGACAAGGAAAATAAATGTCACACAAGTGTGTGAGTGAATAAGTACGAATGTACGAACGTGAGAACAAGAAATATATATAAAGTGTGCAATGCAAAGTATATATGAAAATGGCTAATACACATGAACCAATAGACAGTCTTAACATGATTGGTTGTAATGTCATGTGACAACAAGGTCATGCATGTTTATTTAGTTAGTGGACAGACAAAAGCATGCCAGTTATAATGGAATATCGATCCATATACACAGCAAAATATAATAGTCTGTCAAAAACAAACACACATCATGTGGGTACATATCAATATCCCAGCCCTTGCTTGAACAAGCTATGCGATTTTTTGTAGCGCATGTCATGATGTCCATCATGCACCAGGTTTGTTTTAACAAACAAATAATAACAAAAAATGTGTTACTCTTGTATCGAGGATGCCGTTCAACTCTCTTCAATGTGGAAATACGCTTTTAATCAGAACTTGAAGAAAGTGTATTACATGTAAGCATAGTCATTGCTGAAGTATTATATGCTGCACCGTTTAGTACATCAAGTGGTTATCTACAGTCGATGGCAGTTGTCGTCTCACTAGTCGAGGGTTCAATCCACTTAACTCTCTTACAGGCCTTAGCAGTTTTCACCTTTTTGTCCATGCTGTCGGCTACTGCTTGTGGAGAACCTTTTTATCACCCCGTACATGAGGAGGGGGGTGTCGGAAGAGCCGTTGTCCAGATAAACCGGTTTTAATCGGTCGATACTAGCACTATCCACTATATTGCCACGTTGAATAGCAAAGTGTTTTGAGGAACATGCTTTGACTTTGAAACGTCTTTCGTATGGTGGGCTTGAGGGGCAGTTGTGTTTTTATCACATCTCACCCACTCACATGGGGACAAAAGTTTTTAGTCCTTGGGTTAATAAGTACCGCTCGTAGTTGGTGTGATAAACGCCATCTCTCTCAGCTTTTGCTTCAGAGTACAATAATGCGTGGAAATGACTAAATATTAGTTTTATTATAATATTAAGGATGCAGAGGGCGTGATTGAATATTTGGTTGTCTCACAGCATATCAAGTTTGCTTGCTATCTACCGTAGATGATAATTGTTTTAGTTTAGAGCTAGCGGTATTATTAGTGAGAAGGATATGCTTTTGGTTTTTAGTCAGGGCTTTAAATTCCTATGGTGATTTGTTGCACTATACTTACATATATTTTAGACATTGCATCAGGCATACAGTTCTCTACCCCCTTCTTATGTCTTAGATCACTGGTAAACTGGGATATTAAATCAAAGTGATGAGTTCCACGTGATAAGTTTTCGCGTCAAATGCATAAGTAAAAGGCTTATAGTCTGGATAGATCATTAATGGTTTGTGGAGAGTTTTTGATGATAACTCTCTGACCAAAGGTAGAATACCTTGTCTCGGAAAGGGGTTATACCGTTTAGAGAAGAATTGCGACTGGTTCCTAGCCGTTGCCTACTAGCAGATTTACAACTGCTCCCACAATCGTATTTAGAAGATGCATCAACCATTAGCGCAAAAGTGTGTAGCAGTTCAAGTTGTCACAGTCCATTAAAGCAAATGTTAAAGTAGAGGAAACGATTAAAATATGTAGAAAAACTATGTAGAGAGGAAATGTGTGGATGAAAAAATAATTACATAGAAGATTAACTGACGACTACTTATCTGAAATTTAGGAGGTTTATTTATTTATTTAAAACACAAAACCCGGTACAACATGGTACCAAGAAGATGCTCCATACAATAATATAATAAAGCAATATATGAAAAAAGTAGACAGTAAATGACTTTATCAGGGAAGAAAGCAGTTACATTTAACGAGATCAAACGGCATTTGTTGAATTATTGTCAGAAAAGGAAGGAAGAAGGAAATTGAAGCACGTTCGCCATTGATGACTAAGATTCTTGGCCTCATCCGATGACGTCTAGAGTCACTGGTTCGAGCTGTCTCTCGGATTCCAACTAGGGAGTCGGGACGTACAAACCGATGCTAACATACCGTAAATATCCTTCATCTCACGACGCCACGTCATGGGCTGACCACCTCTACGCCTTTTTACATCCCATCTCAGGACTGGCGAACAAAGACAGGTACGGAAGCCTCTAAGATGACATTCCCAGCACATGTCCAAGCCACCGAAGCTCCAGTGTTTCCAGATGACGACACTCAGTGAATGGTGATCTCCACTGTGTCAGGAAACTCGCCCCCCTCCGGACCTCAGGATTGATCACATGATGATGCTTTCGAACGCAAGCAATTCTACTGAGACGGGGATGATCGAATAAGCAAAGTCGCTGTACAACCTGGAGAAGCCAGGTTTCGAAGGCATAGAGCAAGACAGCACACACCAAAGCATTGTAAACCCTAGCTTTGACAGCCAGGCTAATGTCGTGACGACTCCAGAGGTGGCTCAAGATGACTTATACCACCCTAGCCTTCATATGATACGGTCGGATATTGTGCTCCTCACACCTCTGCCAGCACTCACACAACTACCCAGATACACAAAGAAACTATGTGAATCATGTTATCAAGGATGATAAATGTCAGGTATTCATCAGAAATATAAGTGAAATTACTCTTCGAGAAGAAGTGAGGATTTATTTGATAAACTTGCACTTTGTTTTGTTGTAAAAGCTTGGCGTAAAGAATTCGTCAAATAAAAAACGGGTTACGATTATTCTCAGCTCGCTTGTCCTTCTCATTATAGAATTCTATTCAAGTTGACTCTATCCGTCTGTCATGTGCTTTTGTGTTATTTCTTTTTGTCAAGGTGAAAAATCTTGAATTGAAAGATTTACTCCCATATGGTTTTGGTATTCATCATGCTGGTATGAGTCGTGTTGATCGTACTCTAGTTGAAGATTTATTCGCTGATCGGCATATACAAGTTTTAGTCTCTACTGCCACATTAGCTTGGGGTGTAAATCTACCCGCGCATACTGTATTGATTAAAGGAACTCAGGTAATGTTTGTTGATTTGTTTTTGTCATCTTTCGTTGATTTTAATTTTGTTTTTGTAAAATGTACGCTGAAGATTATGCGGCGCAAGGCCCTCGAGTGGTACCCGAATGGGATATAAAAAGCTCGGCTGTAGTCCGAGGGTGATGTGAGGGAGATGAGGGCTTATGGACAGCCACAGGGCAAGCTAGTGACGACTGTGGTGAACGGGATGATATCCAGATGTGGCATTGAAGTCCTATGCTCCACTCGGAACCTAAGGGGACTAGTAGTAATAAATTTCTTCACTTTCAGGTTTCTGATTCTTCTGGAAAAATATCTTGTGTTAACTGATACCGCTGTCTAGGAGTTTTTATCACCTTCAAAGTCCCTCCGAGGCTCTTAATTCCTGATATACTTTGTAATTTATTTCCATACGACTTAGTTTTTAAACACCTGAATACAAAGCATAAAAACATCAAGTGTGTAAAGGTTTTAAAAAGTTCTATATTTGGCCTAGTTAAAAGAGTAAACGTCAAAGTTTATTGCCTGCAGTCAATCGATTTTCCCACTCTTAATAAAGGAGGCTCACTAAGCTATAAAGAGAAAGGTAATTAGGCGTAAATTTTAGGCGATATTTTCATCGTTATTGTCTTTTCTACATTGCTTATGTAGTGCGGTAAATTCTTCATGGACTCCAGCTGCATAAAATCACTTTACCTCTGGTTTAAGCTATGGATACTTTACCTCGTAACTAACTAAAAGCAATCAGAGAATCATTAAGAACTGATCTGCACTGAACAGGTGGCTGTTTTATCCCAGTGTCAGACTTTTCATCAGTTTGCACCCACAACGTTGTCATGGACTGAACTCACAAGCCTCCGATTTTGAAATTCCAGTCTTTTGGCCAATTGGTTAGAATCCACTGACCGGTTACCGCCAATCAGCGGTGATATCGATGAGTATCCAATTCGCGCGTAACGTGATGGATCCTACCAGCCATGAATTCTCAGCAAAGCTTCAGAATATCTATCTAGTAGTCACTCACAGCTAGGAAACTGGTATTCTCACCTTGGGTTTCATAGGGATTCCAATCAATTTCAATATTATAGATTTCATCAGTTATTGTTAATTAGCTTAAACATCAAGTATTTTTAAAAGCTTTTTGTACCGTTCACCCAGTTTTTAGTGTTATTCGAGTTCATTTCATCTGCTCTATTCTCAGAGATTAAAGTTGTGTATGAATATCCTTCAGTTTATTTCATAAAATAGAAACATTGAAAATCCTACTCAAATTCATTCTTAAAGACTGGAAATATTCGCACAATCTGTCTTTATATTGATGCATAGAACATTAACAAAACAGGACAGTCTTATGCTCGAATTCCTAACCCTTTTTACTTTTAACAGTCAAGTCATATTCTATATTCTTATCTTTATGACATTTAAGAAAGTTACAATAAAATTTACTTCATTATCATTATTATTATTCCCTTGCGTTCCGAGTGGAATATAGGGCTTCAACAACACATCTCCACTTCGTTCTATTTTCTGTCGTCCTCTTCAGCTGGGTCCAAGATTGACCAGCCTCTCTCATCTCTTCCTCACACCATCTCCTTCATATCACCCTAGGACGATCCACTCATCGCTTCCAATTTGGATCCCACTCGCGACAGCCTCGCATGCGATGTCATTCAGCGGCCTCCTCAATGTATGCCTGATCCACCTCCATTTTCTCCTACACCTTTGTTGAGCGATCGGCTCTCGCCTGTTGGTTTGTTCCCATAGTTTCTTGTTGCTTATTCTTTTTGGCCGTTTCATCTTCAGTATGGAGCGAGCAAAGACAACTGTTGATAAAAGTCTGCAACCTGTTGGAAGTGCTTTCTTATGGCACGCCAAGTTTCTGACCCATATAGAAGCACTGGCTGACTTCACATTGGTGTTGAAAACGCGAATCTTGTTCCTTATGCTGGCTGAGTGCGGAAGATTTCCAAACTGGTTTCAGGTTGATGAAAGCGTATCTCGCCTTTCCAATTCTAACTGGCTGTGACATCTTCGTTCGTCCCACCTGTAGTTGGAATGATTTTTCCTAGATAAGTTAAGGAAGTAACCTCTGTCAAATCACTCTCGTTAGTGCTGATTCATGCTGGCTGTTGTTGCTATTGCCGTTGGTTGGTTATCTCCATCCCCTCCGTCTTATCTATGCTCACCTGGAGTCATGTCTTCGCCGCCTGTCTGCCTCCTCAGCCAGTTTGTTGCTTTTCACCTGCAAGTTTTGGAGTCTGCGTGGCATTAAGCATACATCATCTGCGAAATCCAGATCTTCTAGAGTCTTCCTGTCGGTCTTACTGTCTTCTCACTCCCAACACACAGTCTGTCGAATAATCCAGTCAGTCCACCACAATTAGGAATATCATGAGTGATAGTAATGGACAGCCTTGTCATACTCCTGCATTCACTTCGAACGCCTCACTGAGTTTTCCGTTGTTGATCACCTGACAGGTAACACTGTCATATAGCTGTTGAGTGAGGTTGATAAAGACTTGGTCACTACTTGTCGTGGTGTTGAAGTAGTTTTCAACTTACCTCTTGGTCAACACTGTCTGTCGAAGGCCTTTTCGAAGCTGAAGAAGGAAGTTTAGGTAGAGGTTTGACTGCCACCCTGTGCTTTGTTTGATGATGATGCATAGGGTTGCAGTTTTTTAATCAACACATGATTTGCCTTTGTTGAACCCAGTTTGTTCGGGATTAGCGGAGTTCTGCAACTAGTGCATCTGTTATTCTCTCCAGGATGGTGAGATTTATTATTTTACTTGGTGTGGATAAGAGCGCTATTCCCACGCCAGAATAAAATTTATACATTGGGTTTAATCTTGTTTTTTGTATTACTTAGCGTCATTGTAGAATTCCTTGAATTTTATTATTGCTTTCGAATGTCGAATAAATGACTTCAAGGTATTAGAATCTCAGAGTATATCTCGCTAAATGGCTTCCGTAGTAAATCGAACGCCCCCTCCCTCGACCTCGACCTCACCAAACCCATTAATGATGAACGTAAACAACCTAACACTTTATTTATTGTGAAATATATTATAGAGACAGGGCATAAAAAGTTAATGTTTACATGTCTTCTAAAATTATATCTATAAAACGTGTTTGGGGCGTATCCCAAAAGTGTATGTGTGTGTGGAAACCCTAGCAATCATCACAAGTTTATACCACTTTTATGTTGTTCATAAACAATTTGTCAATACACATCTCTCCTCTCTCTCTCTGTCCCAATATTTTAAATATACTCTCACTATTTACTAGTATGAAAACTGACTCAATTGCTCCAAGTTCTTTCATCAATCAGTTGGTAGTATATATTGTATAGCTTTTTGTGTTTGTGTATATGTTACTGTAATGGAGCGGAGGGCGGGGAATTTCTATTTCAAATAATGTTTTTGTTTAATAGCGGGTTGATGAAGATAAAATACGATTAATGAGATTATTAAATGTTATTTTGTATATTAACTAAAGTAGGCAACTTCAGGTTGTATTCCCCTGAGGTACACTTATTGTACACCACCAATGGCACAGTGAGTTCCTACTACATAAAGTGTAATCCATATTGCTTAAAATTTACATAATAACGTTTCTTTAATATCCCTGACTGATAGATCCTTAACTCTCATATCTGGATTGATGGTGATATAGTCTCAAGTTGGCAAACTGTTGTTGTTGTTGTTGCTGTTGAAGTCTCATCATCAGTTGAGAGTCCACTTGCTGTTCTCCGTGTAATAATTCAGTATGTGAATAGAATTGACATGATTAAGGCACACCTATCTGGGAAGCTACTGTGTGATGATGAACAGACAGTATCTATTATTTTTCTATTAGGTTCCGAATGCAACGTGGAGCTTCAGCAGGACATCTTAATATCATCCTGTTTTGTGCAATCATGTATAGCTGGTTGCACAATTGCCCATAATCTCTCATCTCCACCTCATACAATCTCGTTCATGTTAAACTCGAACTCCCAATCTGTCCATTTCGGTTTCCACTCAAAGGCGTAGCATATGATAATCCATCTTTATTTTCTACGGCCTATTTGTTGAGAATAGGTTCTTGATTAGTTCCTTCTCAGAGTTCTTTTCTTCTAATCCTCTCTGGTCCGCGACCTGATCTTCAGAAAGACAGCTGACGGTGAAAGTCTTCAGTAGTCTGTTGGAAATGTTCAACGTGCGTCATGCACTATTATTTCTGACTCGTGACATCGGTGTTGAAAACTAGAATTTTTTTCTTCATACTGAGTGCAGAAAATTTCCAAACTGGTTTCAGAGTGATAAATGTCTCTCTTGCCTTTCCGATTCTGCTTTTTGACATCTTCATCTGTCCCGCCTGTAGTTCAAATGGTGCTGCCCGGCCAGATAAGTGAAGGAAATCACTTCTTTCAAATTTATCCAGTCGGTAGAGATTGCTGCTTGTTGTTGTCGTTGTTGTTGTTGTTGGTTAGGGAATATTCATCATATCTGTCTTCTCTATGACCACTTAAAGTTCCATCTCTGTTACTTCTTCTGCAGACTTGTTGGTTTTCGTCTGTTGATTATTGAGTTTGCGTGACGTCAGACAAAAATCATCGGCGAAGTCTAAATCTCTTAGAGATTTCTTGTTAATCCAACGTGTTCTCGTCTTCTCGCCACCCCCCCTCCCCGCCAAAGTGCTATATGGTCCAGTCCACTATAATCAAAAATATCACTGGTAATAGTAGTCAGACTTACCTTAATCTTGTCCTCAATTCTATGCCATTGCTAAGTTTTCTGTTATGAATCACTTGACACAACTTTTTGGCACTGCATTTGGCGTTGTTTTCAGTGTAGTGATGACCTAGTTAGCCCTGTTGACTTTCTTAATTCAACTGTTAGATCACAGACTAATAAGTCAGGGTCAGCGGGTAAGGATCGTATGGTGATCTAGACTTTCTAGTTTTACCTTCAGTCTCATTACACATTACATCATTACACAGTTAAAGTTAGCCAACTATCTACCATTTTTATGTCGTATTTTACTACTAAACGATGTCCTTAATTATTATATTATGCTCATAAGAATCGTATTAAATATGTATGTATATCTTTTTCCTTAATGATTTAGATATACAGTCCTGAAAAAGGTCGTTGGACAGAATTAGGCGCTTTAGATGTCATGCAAATGCTTGGACGTGCAGGTCGTCCACAATATGATACAAAAGGTGAAGGTGTGCTGATTACCAATCATACAGAGTTACAATATTATTTAAGCCTAATGAATCAACAACTCCCGATTGAAAGTCAACTGATATCACGTTTAGCTGATTTATTAAATGCTGAAATTGTCCTAGGCACTGTGACAACTATACGTGAAGCAGTTACCTGGTTAGGCTATACCTATCTGTATATTCGTATGTTACGTAATCCAAATTTATATGGTGTACCGCATGGTAGTGAAAAAAATGATCCATGGCTTGAACAATATCGTCGTGATCTAGTGCATACAGCAGCTACAGAGCTAGAAAAATCACAATTAATACGTTATGATCGACGTTCTGGGTGTTTACAGTCCACTGAACTTGGTCGAATTGCATCACACTACTATTTAACACATTCAACTGTATTATCCTACAATAAACTACTTCGACCTGGTTTAGGCGAAATTGAATTATTCCGTGTATTTGCTGCTAGCTCTGAATTTAAATATATGTCTGTTAGACAAGAAGAACGCTTTGAGCTAGCTAAACTACTTGAACGTGTTCCCATCCCAATAAAAGAATCACCTGAAGAACCTTCAGCAAAAATTAACTGCCTATTACAAGCTTATATATCTGGATTAAAATTAGAAGGATTTTCATTAATGTCTGATATGGTGTATATTACACAATCAGCTGGTCGACTTGTACGTGCAATTTTTGAAATTGTCCTTCATCGTGGTTGGGCTGAATTAGCTGATAATGCATTAACATTAGCTAAAATGATTGAACGACGTATGTGGGAGTCAATGTGTCCATTACGTCAATTTAAAAAGTTACCTGATGAAGTTATCCGTAAATTAGAGAAAAAATCTATACCATTTGATCGTCTTTATGATATGAATCATCATGAATTGGGAGAATTAGTCCGACTGCCAAAATTAGGTCGACCATTGCATAAATATCTGCATCAATTGCCACGTTTAGAAATGAGTGTTCATGTTCAACCAATTACACGTTCAGCTTTACGCGTTGAATTGACACTAACACCAGATTTTATGTGGGATGAAAAACTACACTCAACAAATCAAGCATTTTGGATATTTGTTGAAGATGTCGATGGAAATACTGTATTACATCATGAATTTTTTGTATTGAAACAACGTTATGCCACTGAAGAACATATACTACGATTTGTTGTACCAATATTTGATCCATTACCACCACATTATTATATAACAGCTGTATCAGATCGTTGGATTGGTGGGGAAGTCACCCTGCCAGTTTCTTTTAGACACTTAATTCTACCAGAGAAGACAATACCACCTACAGAGTTATTAGATTTACAACCTTTGCCAGTGACAGCTTTAAGAAATAAAGATTTTGAAGCTCTATACGCGGATCGTATTAAAGTTTTCAATCCTATACAAACACAGGTAGGTGTTCAATCCAACTTTTGGTATTATATATATATATATATATATATATATATATATATATATATATATGCATCGGTGGTTTAGCCGCAGAAGGCTTGCAAACCACGCACGCAGTCCTGGAGTCGATCCCTACTGGTCGTAAGCTCGATAAAGACGGGAGGTTGGCAGTGAGGCTAGCAACCCTATCCCTTAAAAATAAAACCACTACCACTGAAATTTCTAAGCTCAAGTTTGAGTGAGACCCTATCTCGCTTGGAATACAAATTATTCTCGGAGTTTAAGTAGATTTGATCGAATAGTTGCCAAATAATTGAGCACCGAATAAGAAGTAAACATGTGGAAAAATTATATTTATGATATCTCAGCAGTGAAAATAACATTGGTAATTTCAATGTTTCGTTCGGCAAAGTGATCCCAGCTTCTTTGGGGAAAAAATAATTGAAATCAAAGTTACAAAGGACACCTTTTGTCCTTTAAAAACAGGCATCAAAATGTAATAAACAAAATCGCATGAATGATGTTCAAAATTCGACCTCAGGCTTACAAATATAAGAGTAAGGCCTCCAAAGCCTCAGGATGGTCGGGGGTGGGTGCCTTGCGCTGCGGGTTGGCCACCCCTCCGCACACCTCTTGAAATGCTCCCATATGACCGGGCGTCTTACATAGCCTCTCCTGAGGAAGTCCTACTCACTGCCTTCACGTGGCGGAGGTGTTTCTCACCAAAGTGAGAGGGCGAAAGCGGATGCCCGGCGCTCTCCACCGGGTTGACTGTCCATTGGATGACGGTCTAGGGGAGATGGCTAAACCCTGATTTCAAACCTCCAACGACTGGCGTATGAAGCTCACTGGAGCTCACCGGCAGACGTATGGACAAAGGGCTTGTTGGATGTCCTGGATGTCTGGCCCCATTCAAAAAGGCGTATGAACCGAACTCCGGTCACCGGCTGCCAATGGATAGTGGACTCCTTACTCCACTCCTACTGCCTTGTAGGTCACACTTGGCTGTGTAAAGGCTAGAGCTGCACTCTCAAACAAAAGGCCGAGCGATGCTGGGGACATCATTCGTACCAAATTCTCATGAAACTTCATGAACTCTCTTACAAATTGCCGCGCCTGGGCAGCGATGATTCGAGACGTTCATGAAGCCGGCTCATCCTCCCGTAGGAGATAGCCGAAGTAAAGTAAGTAAGGCAGTTGGAGGACAAATTTCGCGAGATGATATCGTCATTTCGTAGCCTCTTTACAATCGCTTTGTAATTAGCATGGTTCACAATAATAAAAAAATAAAATGCATGACAGTTATTCAGTTATATAAAAAACAAAAGTACATACTAATGACCAATCGTATTTAAATAGGTCAAGTAGTTCATGGTTGTAGTTTGGGATGTATGTGACTAATTCAAAGTGCTTCCATCGCCTTCAATAACCTTGAATTAAAGTTATGTGAAATAATTGTGAAACAGTCATTAATAATATTGATTTTGTAACCTGACATTATTAAGTGCTTTGCAATAGATGAGGATGATGGATTTCTATTCAGATTAATTGCATTGGGACTTTCTGTGTGTTTTAATAACCAATATGGAATATGTTCTTTTCGACGACCACATTGGAACATTCTATTGGTTCTACCTATATATACTGTGTGTCACCTCAACTGCAGGTGAACTTGTAGATACAGTTTGAAGTAGAGTCCACAGGTTTTGTCCTTTAATCGTAGGTACAGGCATCGGAAATGTTCGAGATGTAAGGGAAAGAGATATGGCGTAGAATGTGCGCTTGATCGCTAATCCAAGTCTTTGAGCTGTCAACTGCATAATTTGATCACCCTAAATGATAGGTTTATAAAGATAGCTTTGGTACAGAAGCTGTCTCTTCTACATGAGGTCCATTCTTATTGTAACAATTGATAAAGTTTTCTGGATAACCATTAGCTAATAAAACTGAATGTGTGTGTTGCTTATATATATTTTTCGGACCCTTGAAAACAAACATTTCGCTAGGGAACGTTTATACTGGGTAGGAACAAAACTGTTGTGAAACGAAGATATTGTCCACTCCGTATCTGCTTACGAAGAGTAGATCGCTTGATCGTTCCGTCGTCTCTCCTAGTCATTGAGATATCCACGATACAGAGTTTGTTATTCGATTCAAATTCGGAAGTCACTCGGATGTGGATGAATATGATTAAACAGAGTAACAGACTTACCGTTATTACCAATAATGAGAGTATCATCCGCATAACGTTTAAATGGCATTATTTTGGCTTACCTTGCATTTGTTTCCCCAATTTAGACAAGAATGTATCTGCTAACTGAAGCCCAAGAGGTCTCCCCAACCCAACACCATTGGTTTGTTCGTATGCCTTATCTTGGAAAGTGAACCTGATATTTCCTGTACATGTTAAGATAATGTCTCTAATTTAAGTGACTGAAATAGGTAATTGTATCCTAGTTTCATGAAGTGGAACATTGGTGAGTAAAGAATCTATGTCGATTGAGCACATAACCTTTTCCTTAATGTCCAAACTGCCTAGCATATTGGCCAGATCGAATGAACTTTTTACAGAATGATTTGATAAGAAGTCTCTTATGGACGTAGGGACCTCTGTAATCCATTTTGTGACTTTATTGATATAGAGAATTCCCAGGTTTGTGAATCTTTGGAAGGCCATACAACCGGGGAGTATGTGATCCAATAGCTTTAAGTTGTTTATAAAGTACACATTTTCTAATTTAAAAAGATGTTTTGTTTGTATTTCATTACCGTTTTCTTTTTCTTCTCTTTGTTTCTTTCAAAACAGGTTTTCAACTCACTATACAATTCCGATGAAAATGTTTTAATAGCAGCTCCAACCGGTAGTGGTAAAACTGTTTGCGCTGAGCTAGCCATATTCCGTTTAATAACTACACATGCTAGTACTGCTGCAAGCAATCAATCAGATTCTACGACTGGTACAAATACTAACTTCCGGTGTATTTATGTTTTACCACCGCATGAAGAACAAGTGGAACAGCGTTATATTGACTGGGCTAGTCGATTTGGTGAGAAGTTAGGCAAACGTGTTGTTCGACTAACAGGTGAAACATCAGTCGACTTGAAACTGTTAGCTCGTGGAAATGTAGGTCTATTATTATTATATTATTACTGAAAAATCATAATATTTTCCTTTATTGTTTTGAAGTTTATTCAAGGATTGATATCAGCTGAAGAATCATTTAAAACCAGGGAGTATTGAACAGTTCGGGACTGGCTACATGACGAGTTTGTTTAGAGTTCTAGTGATAGGTCGTGACTAGAAGGATTTCGCCAGGCTGGATGTGAGGACAAATACGCGCTGATAAGATTTCCTGATGGTAGCACTATTAATCGCGAATGGATAAAAATTAGAATTCTTGGGCCAGTGGCACAATGATCAAAAAGCCCATCTCGTAACCTGAAGGTCTTGTGTTCGACCCTTTGTGAGGTCGTAGGTGCATATTATTGAAGAGTCCGGAACTACTCTGTGGTTATTCAGCTGTATCATCAGATGTATCCTCATTATTCATTAACGTACCGCTTATGGAAACAGTAGATTATATTTGCCAAGAAATCACCGAAAGGCAATTAGACTTAGGAATCCCCTTGTGTAGCCTCAAAGAATTACTTCTTAATTGCACAAGGAATGTTCAATTTGTCTTCAATAATTCATACTGTCGACAAGTAGATGGAATAGCTATGGGTTCACCATTAGGCCCAATATTAGCTGACTTCTTTCTCGCAAAACTTGAAAACGAGAAATTGAAGGACATCATCAAGGAGTTTGATATGTATTACCGATATGTCGATGATACATTTATCTTAGCTGATGAGAATGTTAACATAGACGGATTGTTGCTGAAATTCAACAACATCCACCCTTCGCTTACCTTTACCTGTGAAGAGAAGCAGGAGAATAAACTACATTTCCTGGATGTCTTGCTAAGTAGGAGAGAAGATGGGTCGCTTGGGAGAAGCGTGTACAGAAAAAGCACATTCACAGGGCAATACACACACTTCCTTAGTAACGTGCCCATTAAATATAAAAGAAACGTCGTAAAATGTCCCGCGAGCAGAGCAAGAAAGATATGTACGGATGACCTCTTACAAAAGGAATTTGAATATATTCACGATTCCTTGACGGAGATGCGCCATCCAAGTAGTTTCATAAACAAACATATGAAAAAATCAGAGAAAAAACCTGAGACTCTGACTGCATGTGGGAAACCTTTATTTATTAAGTTACAATTTAATGGTGATTTATCAAGTGAGATTCTATTCCAAAGACTTTCAAGGAGGATACGAAGAACATTTTATGCAGCACACTTATGGTTGTCATTCTCTAGCCGACGAATGATTGGGACGCAAATGAAGGATAAGCTTGATAGTTTTGCCACATCTATATGCATATATCAACTCAACTGCACCTGCAGTGACAGCTGTGTTGGGCGTACTACTAGACAGCTTAGGCAACGTGTTAATGAACATCTCTCATCGTGGTTTGGCAAAGTACAGACAAAAACAATCCGTTTTGTCACATTTAATTGATGGTGGTCATGTAGTCGAGAAAACGAAAGCCTTCAAAGTAGTTCATCGTATCCCACAGAATCTTTCTAATAGACTTCGTATTCGTCTACTGCACAAACACACCTGAGGCGATAGGCATTCGAACTATTAAACCTAAACTATACATTCAGAAGAGGTTCGTACAGCCATTATCCCTCCCTTATCGGCTTATTAAGACATAACCAAAAAATGACTTCTACACCACCCCTTGTTTATATTTTCAACTTCTTTCTTCATCCCTTAATCTTCATTATAAACGTGTTTCATTTCCTTCCTTTGCAATCAGTCTAACATTACTTAATCGGTTCATTTGTTTTTCTTAGCCTTTATCGACTACTTCCACCTGAACAATTGTTTGTTTAATCATACTGTTTTTTTATTATTCGTGTTATCACAGATTGCCTCACTCTTTCATCCTTATTATTGATAGAACCATTCTTCTTCTTATTTTTTATTATCATTATTATCATCACTACTATTATGACTAATTGCACAGTTTAAATTCACCATCTTATTATCCTATAGACAAAACACCATGATTGGTTTATATTTGAATTTTTATTTGTAAACTTATGTATATTAGAGTTAAGCCTGATGAGATTTAATTGAAAACAATATTGTTCGCTTAAATGTGTTATTCAGCTGTTCTCTAACTGAGATCAATCCGTGAGGTCACTTGAAATCCTTACGAATTAACCCGGAAATTTTATTGTTCTGTCAGTACAAGTTCTACTATAATAATTTTCCTAGCTTGAAGCATGCTCTTATGCCTTTTCTTAATTACAGATTGTAGTTACTACACCAGAACACTGGGATGTACTTTCTAGACGATGGAAACAACGTAAAAATGTACAAAATGTCAATTTATTTATCGCGGATAACTTGCATTTAATTGGTTCTGAAGGTGGTTCAATCCTTGAAGTTGTCTGTTCCAGAATGCGTTATATCAGTAGTCAAGTGGATAATCCAATCCGAATAATTGGCTTATCACATAGTCTTACAAATGGTCGTGATGTTGCCAGTTGGCTTGGTTGTTCCTCCAGTGCAACATACAACTTTCCACCTACAACAAGACCAATTCCATTAGAATTAACTATAATGCCATTTAATATACCACATCAAGCCTCTCGTCTGCTGGCAATGACTAAACCTGTCTACCAATTAATAACCCGACTAGCGATTATTCCAAGTCCAACTGGTAGCTTACAACATACTCAGCGTAAGCCAACTTTAGTTTATGTGCCTACTCGACGTCAAGCACAAAGAGCTGCACTTGATTTAATCACAATGTTCACCGCTAGCAATGCAATATCCTCGTCTAAATTTCAAGTTATTTCAGGCCATCTAGAAGAAGCACTATCTCGAGCTGCTGATCAATTGGCAGACAAAGCGTTAGCTGAAGTGATTCGTCATGGCGGTGGCATAGCTTATATACATGAAGCTATAACAAAACCAGATCGTCGATTAATTGAAGTGTTATTCGCTGCTGGTGCATTACACACTCTAGTTGTTTCACGTGCTCTTATTTGGGCGGCAGCTTCACCAAATCCCTTATCTGCTTATCTCGTCATCGTAATGGATACTCAAGATTACAATGGCAAAATTCACGCCTATGAAGATTATCCCATAGTTGATTTAATTGAGATATTAGGTCATGCAAATCGACCAAATATTGATAGTGAAGCGAAAGCTGTTGTATTATGTCAAACAGGCAAAAAAGAATTTTGAAAAAATTCCTACATGATCCGCTGCCAGTGGAATCCCATTTGGATCATGCTTTACACGATCATTTCAATGCTGAAGTTGTTACAAAAACTATTGAAAATAAACAAGATGCTGTAGATTATTTAACTTGGACGTTTTTGTATCAACGTATGACACAGAATCCAAATTATTACAATTTACAGGTTAGTTTTAATATTATGTCTTTTTTTCTAAAAAAACGTTTGATGAAGATCCCTATAATTTAATTAAGACGAATAATTGTTTCCACTAGCCCTCTTCCTTTTCTTCTTCAGGCTCTGAATTAATTAGTTCATTAATGTTAGTTAGCACACAACTATCAGTAACAATGAATTAAAATTCACCATACCATCATCATGCGCGTCAGGCCATTGATCGAGCGGAACCAGGCCGAAAGGGAAACGGCGAGTGGGATGTCAGTTTAAGGGTGACATGGAGGAGATCGTCTGAAGAGAGAGGAGTTGAAACAGTATGGACTAACATGGATTCAGGTGAAAAGTACAGCAGAAGGAAGACAGAAGTGACAAGTGGAGACGTGCAGTTGAAACCCTATGTTCCACTAGTAACCCAAGGGAGCAATAATAATAATCGAAGGCCTCATGTTGCCTATGTTCAGCTAATGACTCTCGTATAGGTCAGCACATGCTTCCTGTATTCCACTGCTGCTAGCCAGCGTCGACTAAGTAACATATATAAAAGACTACTTACTATGGTACAAGTATACAAGGGATAGTGGGCGATTTGTTGGTTTTAATTTCTCTTTGAATATATGCACATAAAATGTGCAATCATAAATATATAAAAAAAATATGATATAAGGTTAATTGATCGATGTGTTTGTGAATTTACAACTAACAGAATCTCATAGGTGTCAAGGTGGGGGAAGGGTGGTGGTGGTGGTGTATTGTTACTGTATACAACACCATACCCAATGGTATGAGAGAAAAAATGTGAATACTACAAAAAGCAGCAGCCAAACAAGCAAATAGGATCACAAGTAACGATAATGATAAAAAATGATGATGATAATAATGATGTTGTGTGATGTGGTGTAAACACATTTATCAAATAGGAAAGATTTCAATGTGCATAACAAATGTTATATAGTACCACGTGAAACACTAGGTAAATAACTAATGCCAAAAGGTTATTTAATCGAAAGTGTTTAAAATAAACATTAGTCAGTGAAAAAAACAACGAAAGAGAAGGAAAGAACAGAACACATGGATTTAAAGTTTGAACCATACAGTGGACCAAAGTAGGCAAATATGCTGTATATATTTTCTTCTGGATACACGGATCAAATCCTCCTTGTTTTGATTGCTACCGCTTTGGCCGCTGGATCAAAAGCATTACCCAGTACCCAGCTATGAGCCACACTCATTGTCAGATGGCTGATGATACTACCCGTCAGTTGTCCGGATTGAATTAGATGAAGTGAAATGCGAACCTGATACCACCCATTCGTTGGAATTCGAGTGATTTAAGCCAGTGGGCCGTGCATCGGTGGCACAGCGGTTAGGACGCTCGCCGACCATGCACATGGTCCGGGGTTCGATCTCCGGCCACCAACGCAGTCTTTTACCTCACTAATCCAGAAATAAAAAGCTGGTAAAGAGAAAAGGTTGAGCATTAGGCTAGCAACCCCATCCTGTAAAAATGAACACCACTGCTACAGAAATTTCAAGCCCCCAGCTTGTGAAGCCCTATGTTCCACTGGGAACGTGAAGGAATTTTTTTAAAAAAGCCAGTGGGCTACATCTTCAGGATAGAAGGTGTAGTTGAGCTCTTCTTCGTGATAGGTCACTGGCATTGTCAACATATGCACTTAAAAAGAGTGAAGAATAGATACCATAATCAAATGACCTTGAAACGACCAATCAGACTACTCAACATTACAAATGAATGCTTTCGTAATCGTCGTTGTAAGTTTCATCGTGATTCAGGGTTAGCGTTAGAGTAGGATTTAGATGAGGGTGAGACTTGAAGCAATGGGAAGCATCCACTTAAAACGCTGAGCAGTGTGCCCCATCGCCTCCCCCGACTGGCATCACTAGCCGACATAGGTGCAGGTTGGAAAAGAGTAAGCGGTGGCCAGACAAAAACATGGCATCAATCCATGAAATCCTTGACAGTTAAACTGAGTCAGGTAGGGAGATGCAGACTTCCGGGTTGGGGCCCTCCGGACTGACTCTAAGAATCAATGGCTGGAGACAATGAGTGATATGGCTCAAAATCGTTGTCATTGGCCAGCGCAGATGTATTCAGTCTCTGTAATCTTTCATATTCCTTTCTACCATTACTCATTCTGTTTCGCTCTTATGCCTGTCAAACTCTGTTGATTCTCTCCACTCATCTTCTTGTCTACCTCTGTGTGCTATTTGGAACGTGGCAACTCGAACTGCTGCACTTTGGTGCCAAGTTCTATGTTGAATCCTGACAGAGAGACAGCTGAGCAGAGTGAATATCATCACTAGGCTGTATTCATCATAGAGTCAGTCTTTCATCAGAATTAATGGATCCTATAACCGGTATTCATACAAATTCCGGTTTGTCTCCTGTGGCCACTTCCATGGAAAACTAAGACATATACCCTGTATAATGGATTTTTGTTATACATGTATCCACTATACCTAATTTCTTTTATTAACTATGATTACCGCCTTTTACGTAGAAGCATATGATTGGCTGGTTCAAGGTTATCCGACTGTGGTATCTATTCTTTACGGTTGACGAAAATACTAACAAATAATATCGGCTTGACTATTTTTGCATTTCTGTTTTTGAAAAACTTTTTAAGTTGACCTACTGATTCTTATATATATATATATAGTTCTGTGTTCACTCTCACCTCATCAGAAATAACCAGAATAACAGGACAAAGTAGTTTTTCCTTGTTTAAACTGTCTAACCGTTGTAAGTAAAATAATGTTATGGAATGATAGACTTTGGAATTTCTCCATTTTCACATAATTGTTTTTTTTTGGAGTTAAGGGGGATCTATTTATTTAACGCCATTCTTTTTTTGTACATTTAGTTTTTCTCTGTGTTGTTAAGATATATATGTGTGTTGCTAATTGTGAATTGATTAACTTGTGCATAGCATAGCATAGCGTTGTTCACTGTCGACATGTTTGACTAAATTCGACCAAGGATTGTAAACCACTTTAATCGGCTAAACAGCTTTCCTAGCTGGTAGTAGTTAGTTAAGCTGTTTACGATAGAAAACTGATTATGTGTTACCGAAGGTTTAGAGTTACGACATATAGGACAAGTTATACTCTAATCATTCTGTTAGTAATTGTTTGTTTAGCTTTACTGTGCTACTTTTAACAATATATACATACATATAAGTAGTATAGAGGAGGATATTTTCCTCGGAGAAGTAGTGGTAGTGTATATTTAGTCAGTAACGACTCTACGGAATAAATGGCGGATAGAAGTTGGAGGCAGTCGAACGCCTAGGCCCTCGAGAGGAATCCAAATGGGAAACGACGAGTGGGTCGTCCTAGGCGTTGATATGGAGAAGATCGTCCGAAAAGGAAATGAAAGATTATGGGCAATCGTGGACCCAGCTGAAAAGAGGACACAAAGTGGAGATGTGTTGTTGAAGCTCTATGTTCCACTTGGAACCCAAATGAATAATCGTATGATGATAAAGAGAAGTTTGTAATACTGAAAAAATGATATAAATAACTTGAAAAGAATGACTATGTATCCCCAATACCGTAGTGTGTTAATAGTATTTGCCGACTATCCTCATAAGTGATTTACTTTTGGTCTCCATAACCACTTTGTAGTTAGTAGTATGAAGGCAAAGACCAAGGTGTTTATGTCACTGAATTACGCAACACAAACCAAGCAGCTTAACATGCACCCCAGTCATTAGACGTTACTAAACAAACCCAAAGACGTTAGTGAAAGTAAAAGTTTGACTTCTGTGAACTGAGGTGCTTATAAATTGCAAGATGCTAACAGTAGGCGCATTACTGGTCCTTTCCCTGGCGTAGATATGCAGACTTGTACTCTGTGTACCTTTAAAGAGTAGAGCAAGATGTTAAACTATACTTGTAAAGGATGAAGTCATATAAACTTCTGGTGTGAATGGAGGACCGTGGCGTTTGCGAAGTGTGTGAATACCGGGGGTGAAAGAGTAATCAAATTGTCTAATAGAGTGACTCCCGCGTAGTCTTCCTTTACAAAATAGCTGGTATTCGGCGAAATAAACAATTTTATCCTGTCAAGGGAATGTAATTTATTCTATTATTTTATTCATTACTACTATCTTATATGATTCTACTTTACACTTTATTTTAGGGTGTAACACATCGTCATTTGAGTGATCATTTAAGCGAACTAGTTGAAACAACTCTGAATGACTTGGAAACATCGAAGTGTATAGCTGTAGAGGATGGTATTGATTTATCGCCATTAAATCTTGGTATGATATCAGCTTACTATTATATCCAGTACAATACTATTGGTAAGTATTTTATATAAATAAACCTTATAGTCATTTTTATGTATTTATTTATTTATCAGTGTGCATTAGAGCTTACTCCAGATCTCGTCATGTTCACTTCGGAATTTGACTTTTATAATACCTTTTGTAGCTGATCTGTGAATTTTTTTAACGAGGTTGTTTCTATATGAAAGTTATTCAGAATGGCTTCTACAGTATCTCAGCCTGTAAGAAAATGCAGTGGGTGATGTATTGAAGGATGAAATGAAAATCTGGGTCAGGCCAGTGACGTCTGATTTACTAGACAGACTCTGTGTCTCCCTCTCTGTCTCTCTCTGCCAGCTGAGTTACAAACGCCAGTGCTTAGCAAGTTGAGTGTTGTAATTCAGCTAGCCGGGTCCAAGACTAGTAACGTCTGAACCGCTTCTTGGAATCTTGTTGTAGTATCGATTTTCTTTTTATCGTTAGTTAATAGTCTACTAATTCAAGACTATCTCAGATAATCTCAACGTATAGAACAGTATTTGAATTTGCTTTATAGTTCATGGATTTTCCTCTGATACCTGTCCAGCTAAACTCAATGGTTGGAAGCCTTCATCATGGGCTGACAGTTAAAGAACCATTAGAAAACCAGCTGGGAGTACTGGACAACTGTGTCGTCCTAGTTCGGGACTCTTCATCGGTACACATCCACCACCAGGTTTTGAACACAGGGCCTTCTGGTTACAAGGTGAGCTCGTAGACCATTCAGCCATTGGGACCCGACCCAATGGCCCATGAAACCTTAACTTCTTCCAATTCATGACATAGCGCGACCACTTCATAATGTCTTCTTCGATGAGTTACTACCTCACCTTCAAGCTGCTGTACACTACTGACTACAGCTCCCCACCAGAATCCCAGGTTAACTGCCTGAATTCAGTGACATGACGTGACCACTTCTAGTGGGAAGCCGTAACCAGGAGTGTACACCAGGTTGAAGGCGAGGCAGTAACTCATCGAAGAAGACATTGTGAAGTGGTCGCGCTATGTCATGAATTGGCAGAAGTTAGGATTCATGTATTGGCCATTAGATTGGGTCCCAATGGCTAAATGGTCTACGAGCTCGCCTTACAACCAGAAGGTCCTGGGGTTCGAACCCTACCGGTGGGGGCGTACCGGCAAAGAGTCCCAAACTAGGGCGAAACAGTTGTCCAGTACTCTCATGTTTTCCAATGGTTCTGTACCCGATGCCTGCTCATGATGAAACCTTCCGACCAGTCAAACACAGTTCCTAAAAAACCAATACTTGACAATTAAACTCAATGGGTTATCTTTCAAGGATTAATTTGTAGAGACTTGATTTGTTCGACGTTTGATCATGAGCGCTAACATCAGTTGGAGAACCAGAGAAAACTGGACTGCTGGTGAGCAGAAATGGGATAAAGTTACCTGAAGTATTCTAGGCCAAAGTTATGAACAGTGGGGTCCATCATGCCGGCCTTGAGAACAAGGTACTCACCGATGACATTACCTGGTGGTCGGTTGGTAGAATTCATGAGTCAGCCATTGAATCGGGTCACAGTGGATTAGTAGTCTACGAGCATGCCTTTTAACCAGAAGATTTTGATTTCGAACCTTGGTGGTTGTCCTACTAACAAAGGGTCACTAAATAGGATGAAATAGTTGTCTGGTACTCCTTAGTCCTCCACTTGTTCTCTAACTGGCGACAGCTTTTGATCAAACTTGAGTCAGTTGGTTACACTCAAAATGGGATATTTCATAATTCATAAACAATTAAACAACACCTAATCGTAGTTTCGTTTGTTTGCAGATTTAACTTTATCTTTACGTAATCTATTTCAAATAATTTTCTTTTCTTTTTTCTAAAAATCTCTTTCAGAATTGTTCAGTTTATCGTTAACAGCTAAAATGAAAATTCGTGGACTGTTAGATGTTATAAGCAATGCCTCAGAATTTGATGTTCTCCTACCTGTAAGACATCATGAAGATATACTGTTGCGTCAATTAGCTGCAAAAGTTCCACAGAAATTAGCACCTAAAGCTAAATTTTCAAGTCCACATGTTAAAGCGAATTTACTACTGCAAGCTCATTTATCCCGACTACAACTGCCCACTGAAATGCAAACAGATACAGATCGCTTATTAGGCTGTACTATACGTTTAATTCAAGTAAGTTCAACCCCCCCCTTTCTATATATATATATATATATATATATATATATATATATATATGTCACTTGCAGTTATTTTTAGTGAGGGTAAACGTAACTGTCACGTATAGCTTCGACGTTTGATTACATGTCCTCTCGGTTTATTCGTAGATATTGTGTCTTTGATATGTCTCATTGGTTGTCAATATGTATGAGATGCAAATCTGTTCTCGCGCCTACTTTGGTCCAAGTCGTTGGCAGGCGTCATAAGTCCTCAAAAGTTACCACATAGAATTTGAACACTTAAGTTAAAATGTAACGACAAAAGACAAGAGTCAGGCAACAGATCGTTTATTGAGAAAATCAACAGATACTTATAGATTTTTATGTACATTATTGTCAGCGGAGGAACAACATCTTCTGATTGGTTGTTTTCTTGCTCAAGGTTATTCTCTACTGCTTGTGACTGGTTTCTTAGAAAGTTAAGCCATATATCTGCGAATCGTATGTGCACACGTTAAGTTTGCTGTGATTAGTTGTTAAATCAGTCTTGTTCATATTTTCTCACGGCCAATATTAGCGACATAGACATTGACGTAAATTAATGTCTACCAATTGGCTAGCAGCCTGCTCTCACCACAATAATACTATATTATCATTTATAATATAACTCAAAATCGGTCTCAATGGCGCAAATGTATCCATTCTTTGTGATTAAGCATATCCAGTAAAATTCTCTTGTTCTCCCCTGTTACCATTCTGTCTGCCTCGTATTTCTGTTTATCATCCTTCTTTTGAATCTGTCATCACTCTTTTCTCTTGCTTTGTGCACTACATGTATGGAGAGTAGCAACTTGAACTGCTGTGCGAAGTTCTACGTTGAAAATAGCCAGCCATATATTAACATTTCCTCAAATTTTGTGCAAGCGATAAATATAAAATATGAGCAGTTATGGTGTCATTGGGATGTTGTTGTGTATCAGTCAGATGAACATTTTATATAAAGCACTGTTGTTAGACGAAGTTCAATTTTCTTTTTTGACATAGACTTTTCGACACAAGTTTAACATTCCTTGTAGAAAATTGTCTTTACACATTCGTGTCCTATATATATGCCTTGAGATTTTCGAAGTCATGATTCGTTGGTTCAACTTTCACTTTTTTTTTGTGTAATACAGACTCTATCCTTATTATGCTTATGAAAACTTGAAGTGTCGGGCCTTATCACTAGTTGGTACTTGTTGGGTAATAACTAGAAGTGTGATATGCAGAACATGCGTCTCATCTTGGGTGAGACCCTCATCCCCAGTGGACCCTGATGTACCCGTTTAATCGGTCTGTCTGGATTCAACATAGAACTTGGCACCGAAGTGCAGCAGTTCGAGTTGCCACGTTCCAAATAGCACACAAAAGTAGACAAGAAGATGAGTGAAGAGAATCAATAGAGTTTGACAAGTATAAGAGTGAAACAGAATGGGTAATGGTAGAAAGGAATATGAAAGATTACAGAGACTGAATACATCTGCGCTGGCCATTGACAACGATTTTGAGCCATGTCACCTATTGTCTCCAGCCATTGATTCCTAGAGTCCCGAGGGCCCCAACCCGGAAGTCTGCATCTCCCTACCTGACTCAGTTTAACTGTCAAGGATTTCATGGATTGATGAGGCCATGTTTTTGTTTGGCCACCACTGGCTCTTTTCCAACCTGCACCTATATCAGCTAACAATGCCCGTCGGGGGAGGCGGTGGTTAGGCATGCGCAGCACGTGACCTAGCCATCTTAGTCTATGTAACTTTATAGCCTCGTCGATTGATTTTCCCTCTTTGCCCAACACTCTACGCCTAACGTCAACATTACTTACCTTATTAAACCACCTAACGTGAGACAGAGATCGCAGACATCTATGATCGAAAGCAGTCAACCTTTTCATGTCTTCAACGCGTATTGGCCATGTTTCAGAGCCATAGAGAAGGACGGAGCGAACTGATGAGCAGTACACACGTCCCTTGGTTGATAACCGGATGTCACGCCTACGCCAGAGATGGTGTAAGTCAGCGAAAGCAGCTCGAGCTTTTCGGATCCGTGCTGAGATTTCATCGCCAATCAGTCCGTTGGTGCTAATACAACTTCCCAAATAGGTGAAGTGGTCAACATGTTCTATCACTTCACTCCCTATCACTAAGTTAGGAGTTGACGTGGTCCAGTCCTGTAGCAGCATCTTACATTTTACAGGGGCGAATCGCATGCCAAACATACGAAGATTGCTGCTCAAGGTGTTCAGAAGACTCTGCATTTTGTCAGCATCCTCCCCTAACAGGACTATGTCATCTGCATATTCTAAGTCCATAAGACTATTCCCTGGTAACAAGTCGATTCCTAAGTCATTACGTTCAGTTAAGGATACTTCCATCAGCATATCTATGATGAAGTTAAACAGAAATGGGGAAAGTGGACATCCCTGTCGGACACCACTGGTTGTTACCAATTCAGATGACAATTCCCCATAAGCCCTTACACGACTACGTGAGTTTGAATAGAGTGCCTTGATTAGTGCAATGTACTTTCTTGGCACTCCCTTCACAGTCAGACATTGCCATAGTACCTTTCGATCCACGGAGTCGAAGGCCGCCTTCAAGTCAAGAAATATGACAATTGTTGGACGCCGAAAAGTGTGTCTATGTTCTAGAATCTGTCGAAGAGTGAAGATATGATCTATGCACCCTCTACCTGGTCTAAAGCCTGCTTGATTTTCCCTTGTCTGTTCCTCCCGAGTTCTGCTTAGTCTATGCATGATTACTGAGCCTAGGATTTTAGAGACTATGTTCGTTAGGCTGATCCCCCTATGATTATCACACGAGGACTTGTTTCCCTTCTTGAATATCGGTATAATAAGTGACTTACCCCAGTCTGATGGCACTGTCTCTGATTCCCAGACTTTGCCTAGTACCTCAGTTAATCTACAAACTAGTATGTCACCCCCATATTTAAACACCTCCGGAATAATTCCGTCGGGTCCTGCCGCTTTGCCTCGTTTCAAATTACTGATAGCTTTTGTGACCTCACTTACAGACGGCGGACCAGTGTCTATATCCCATTCGGGTGTGTGCTGGATGTCGGGGAGGTTCAGTGTGGCTGTAGGCAAGTTAAATTGTCCCTCAAAGTGTTCTTTCCAGCGTTCAAGGCGTCTATCCTGAGAGCTAATTAAGGAGCCATTTTTCTCAGAAATAGTCTCACTTATGATTTGCCTTCTCCCACCCGTTTCCCTGATGAGTCGAAAGAGTTGCCTAGTGTTGCCGTTTAATTGGAGATGTGGCTTATTTATAATTTAATCACTCCACCTTTAGTCAATGACTCCAGGGTTCGAACCTCACTGCATACCTCATTCTAAACGACTAGCTAGCTGTCATCGATCATAGGTGCCTGCGTTCTATCTTTAGTGCGAAGTGGTAGAATAAGGCGATCAATATTGAGGTTAGGCATCGAGTGTTAGGTAAAGAGGAGAAATCAATCGACGAGGCTGTGAAATTACACCGACTGAGATGGTTAGGACATGTGTTACGTATGACTAGCCTAGTCATTGCCTTTCTCGACAGACGGGCAATGATAGCTGACATAGGGTCAGACTGGAAAAGAAGCAGTGGTGGTCAAACCAAAACATGGCTTCACCAGTCACTGAATTCCACAACAGTTAGTTTAAGTCAGTCAGCCACGTAGGAAGGTGTAGACTTCCTGACTGGTTGGGGTCGTCGGGACGGTAAAAACCAATGGTTGGGAACAATTGGTGATATGGCTTAAAATCGTTCTCAATGGCTAGCCCAGATACATACACTCCTTGTGACTTACAATACCCGATAAAACTATATTGTTCTTCGATATTGCTATTCTGTTTGCCTCATATTTCTGTTTACTGTCTCTATTATGCATTTCTTCTCTTACTTTGTGTGCTACATGGAGGGGGTGTGACGACATGAACTGCCGCACATCAGTTTAAAGTTCTATGTTGAAAACAGACAGACATCTTCAGGTAATGAGTTTGGCTCATAATCTGGAGCATAAGAGGCTGAGTTCAAACAACAAACAAATACAGTTCTCTTTAAGTCTTGAAGTCAACTACCATATTAACACATTACAATTACTCTTATTTTTATGTGTTACTCATTTACTCAAAATGTAATTTTTTTAAAATTATTTTCATTTCTATTAGGCTTGTGTAGATGTATTGTCGAGTAATAGTTGGTTAGGTCCAGCTTTAGCTGCTATGGAATTATCACAAATGTGTACACAAGCTGTATGGCATAAAGATTCCTATCTACGTCAAATACCACATTTCACTGCTGAACGTATAAATCAGTGTAAAGAGAATAAAATTGAAACTGTTTTCGATATCATTGAACTTGAAGATGATGAACGTAATCAAGTATTGGAAGGGTTGACACAAGCACAAATGGCTGATGTAGCTAGATTTTGTAATCGTTATCCAAATATTGAAATCACCTATGAAGTTGTTGCTAGCAATGGAAATAATGCAACTAAAGCACCTGTTCGAAGGTATATTATATCTTTATATATATATTTTTCTACAAAATTATTTTTTTTATGTTTGAAATTTTACTCCTGAAAGTTCCCAATGGGACATAGACCTTCAAGTTCTAGAGCTTTGAAGTTTCAATAGCACTGGTGTTGTTTGTGTACAACGAGTTTGGGGGTGGGGAGAGGGAGGTTGCTAGCCTCTGGCTTAACAGTCTGTCGGCTGATTTCTTCGGTTTTTAATAAAAATCTACATAAACATGGATTAAAATCCCTAGAAAACGGAAAATCTGAATACTCAACCTTCAACTTATTACCAACTATAGGATAGGATAGATATCCTGATATGTTAAGGAAAATTGGTAAACCTTGGGGCGCGAAGCGGATGTTCATTGTTTGGGTTTGTCATAGTGCTATCTCGCGAAATTACAGATGTTGAGTCGTTAGATTCATACGTAGTGTCTGAGACATCAACGGGCTGGCGTCGTAAGCTGAAGGTTTTGAGTTCGATGCCTGATGATGATGAAGTTATGAATGTACAGTGCTGTGAAGAGTTGCCCAGTGCTCCCTGGTTTGCAATGATTCTCTGAACAATGTTAGTTCGTTCATTGAATAATTTCTGAGGAGACTCCTATTGAGTAACCTCATGCTACAGACATAACCTTGAGTGGTGGGACCCGATTGGGAAATGACGAGTTGGGTGTCCGAGAGTAAGTGTCGTGGAGAGCAGGTCGTATGAGGAGAAGACGGGAACACTGTGGGTAAACTGTGGACAGTAGGAGAACAGGATGGAGTGGAGATTAACCGTTGAAACTCTATGTTCCGTCCACTCGGAACCCGAAGGAACAATAATTATTATAAATGTAAGTAATTAGCATTTATTGTGTGTATGTACCAACCATACACATCTTTTTTGGTGTAGTTATGTTCTCTGAGCTGGACGGTTTAGTTGTGAAATCACATCAACTTAAGATACAATTTCAGGTCAAGGAAATGTGAACTTGAAGGGTGAGAAAAAACAACCAATGACGTTCAAGGTTATCAGGAGAGATAAAGTTCACTCCCAGTTAAAGTATGCGTTAAGGATGTTGCCTAGTAAGGCAATGGGGAAAGCTTCGCAAGTAAAAACGATCCAACTCAGAGAATACGACTGCACCAAAATTATCCAATTGAGCTACAAATCTTCTCCATTCTACTTTTGCATTTCTTTTGTCGTTGAAATCTGCTAGTGAATAATTATTCGTTTTTTTTGTTTTCTTTTTTACATAGTGGTGAAACTTTAACTGTACAAGTCAGTTTAGAACGTGAAGAAGATAATGTGGGTCCAGTAATAGCACCATTTTTCTCTCAAGTAAGAGTTCTGTCTGTGCTGTTTTACAGTACCTTAAGCTGATGCTCATCCTACAAACTATTTCACTGTATATGTGAGATTGTAATATCTTATCTCTTCGGACTGTGGGGTTCATTGATCTAGAATCTCGGTAGTGTAATCATTAGCCCTCATTGAGTCGGTGTGACTCATTGCCAGCTGTATAGAAGTTTGAGCCACTTAGGGAGATGTAGACTGTTGTCTGGTTGTGGTGTCCTCGAGACGGTAAGAACCAATGAAGTCTGGAGACAATTGGTGATACGGCTAGAAATCATTCTCAGTGGCTGGTGCAGATACATGTACTCCTTGTGATTTATCATACAAAATAAAGTTCCAATGTCTCTTTTCCTTCACACTTCTGTTTATTATCTGCATTTCGAACCTCCCTTTACTCTCTTCTATTTCTTTATGTGCTACATGAAGGCAGTGGTTCACTTCTGTGCGAAGTTCTGTGTTAAAATCAGTCAGTCAGTCAAGAGGTTTCAATATTGTAGTATTTATTTTGAAAAAGTTCTTCATGTAAGGTAGGACTATTTTCCTTGTCGTTTCAGCAGATGTTCTCAGCGATTTTCGGATGAAGAGAGCCGCTTTGATGTACTTTTTTCGTATAATTTCTCTCGTCTTGTTCATGAATTTATATTCTTACTTTTTATGTTTATCTTCTGCATTATGTAACTGTGATTCACCAGTGTGTTAGTGCTCGACTGGTTCATGGATTCGAACCCTAATCCTCCTTTCTAGATTTCCTCAGTCATTTTTCATACAGTTAGGTGCGAGACTCATTGTCGACTTCATACAAATGTAGATAGCTGTATTTATTTTACGATTGCCTTTGGGTCCCAATGGTGGAATGGTCTACAAGCGTTTACCTTCTAGTTTGGAGGTCCTGGGTTCGAGTCCCGGTGAGTGGTATGGTACAGCTGATGAGCCCAAAAGTAAGATTGAGCAGCTGTCCACTAGTCTGCACTGGCTTTCTAGTGGTTCCCTAACTGGCTGCGAGATGACGTCACCTAAAGTTTTAGAGCTAGTAGTCGTGACCAGTAGGGACCCACCCGTTCGAGAATGAGAACAAATACGCGCCAGTGATGACACTGGCTAGCGGTCGCGCTAAAATCACGAATTGGTAGAAGTTAGGAATTATGGGTTGGCCATCGAGTCGGATTTCAGTGGCTGAATAACCTACGAACTTGCTTTGTCCTGGGTCGGAAACCTGGTGCGTGAATACTGTAGATCAGGCCTAAATTAGGACGAAACAGGCTGCCCAGTACTCGTTTGTGGTGGCGTTCAGTGGTACCCTAATTGGTGCCAGCTCGTGATCAAGTCCCTGCAAATTGACTGTTGAATAATAAAGTTTGTAGTTTTCCATACGTATTTAATTTGAAGGTGCGTCGGTGGCACAGTGATTAGGACTCTCGCCAACCATGCACATGGTCCGAGGTTAAATCTCCTGCCGACGCACACTTGATATCTATGGTCGGCCTGCAAAATTTGGGCTACCGATATCCATGTTGAAAATTCCATACTTTTACCAAAAATACAGTGTGGAATCAAGCTGTAATCATATATATATATATATATATATATATATATATATATATATATATATATATATATATTTGTAAAATATTCTTACTTGTGTTCTTTTTTTGGTTTTTTACTCTCTTCTATAGCCACGTGAAGAAGGTTGGTGGTTAGTAGTCGGTGAACAGAAGACAAACTCTCTAGTCGCCATAAAACGTCTATTTGTTTCACAGTCAATGAAAGTTCGTCTAGACTTGAATGCACCTAGTCATGCTGGTCGTCATGAATTCACACTGTTTTTCATGTCAGATGCTTATATGGGTTGTGATCAAGAGTATAAATTCCAGGTTGAAGTACGTGAATGAATCGAGGGTGCAAAGTAGCGGGATGAGAGGAACATTTGACCAAGAGTCATTGTGTTTCACTTCTTTCCCTTGTATATTTCCATCGGAAATGCATTATTTTTTTTCATTTTGTATTAAACCACTTTTTATCCTTGTATTTATTACTCCAGTAATAATACTATATACACATTTGTAACAAGTTTGTGTTTCCTTTATTCTCTTTTAAATACATCCGTTAGATAATTGTATATCAATAAAAAGCATCTACATTGTTCACCTTCTGTGCTTGCTAATTGAGGTTAGGCATCGTAGACTTGTAGTCTATGTGTGAGGAGGAAGTGGAGGGTAAGTCAATGGATAAGGTTATAAATCTGTATCGATCTTAGACGGTTAGGACATGTGTGTTACACATCTCGAACCATTGGCTTCCTCGACAAGTAATGCCACCTGAAACTGGATTAAAGTTAAAAAAGGGGTAAGGGTGTTCAAACCAAAGACTTTCATTTAATCTTCTACAGTTATTGGTTTGAGCTAGTCACGTAGGGAAGTGTAGATTGTCGTATTTGTGTCCAGGGGATGATGATGATGAAAGAACGAGAAAGACTGTTGGTGATATAGCGTTTTCAATGAAGCGAATACATTCCTATTTTTAAAATTTCCCACTCATATCTATTCGATTCACTTGGTTCTCCATGTTAATATCCTTTCTCTCATATACTTCTGCTCAGTGGAGTATCGGTGGCATAGCGGTTAGCACGCTCGCTGACCATGCATATGATCCGGGGTTCGATCCCCGGTCACCGACGCACTCCTTTACCTCGCTAAGCCAGTAATAAGAAGCTGGTGAAGAGAGAAGGTTAGGCATAAAGCTAGCAGCCCCATCCTGTAAAAATAAACACTGCTACAGAAACTACAAGCCTTCCAGCTTGAAGCCCTATGTTCCACTTGGAACGTGAAGGTAAAAAGAACTTCTGCTCAGTCTGGTTCTCTCTTTATCTTTGTCTACTATATACCACAGCGTGGCTAGTTGAACTACTGCCCTGCTGTGCTAAGGTTCCACGTTGAAATTCAGTCAGAAAACCAGGCGATAAATCTTTGAGCCCAAACTACTCTAATCGTATATTTCTTGAAAACCTTTCTAGGCAATTCATCACAAATTATTTTGAAATGTAGAAGTCAGTGACCAATTATGAATATTGTTAGTAGTTTGACAACCAAGTGAGATAATTTGTGAATGTCAAATAATACTGAATTGATATCGTTGAACAAATTAATCCCCCGCTGATTGTCCTGGATTTTGATTTCATGCGCATTTCCCATAAGCTGTGGAACATATTTGTTGTCATGTTGAAATTCATTTTTTTTCTCTGAGGAACTTAAGTCTGGATCATTCGTCTTAGATGTTGTAGTCCACTCTGTGGAATTCATTCATTCACACTATCTGGTTTTCTTTGATTCTCTTTGTGAATTGATTTGCATCAATATTTATTAAAACATAAATTTAATACATAATGGGCACAAAAAGATGCACCACACAGAGACTCATAGCTTGTGCAAGGGCTGGGATACCGTCCAGACCGAAGCTCCCGCCAAATGTAACATGATGCTACAGGACTGGACTACGTTGACACATTCCTAACTTAGAAATAGGGAGTGAAGTGGTTAGTGGAACGTGTTTACCTCTTCACTTATTTGGGAAGTTGCATCAGCCAACTCAAACGGGTTGATCTCTGACGAAATCTCACCACGGATACACAGGGCTCGTTTCTCATATGCCAGTTTACGCCGTCTGTGGCGTAAACGTGATATCCTGCTATGGACCATAGGGCGGGTGTACTGTTCAACAGTCCGCTCCGTCCTCCTTTATGACTGTGAGACCCGGTCATTTAAAGTGGAAGACATGAAAAGATCATAGGTGCGTGCGATCTCTCTCCCGTGGTAAGTGGTATAATAAGGTGAGCAATATTGACGTTAGGCGTCGAGTTCTAGGTAAGAAGGGGAAATCAACCGACGAGGCTGTGAAATTACATCAACTGAGATGGTTAGGACTTGTGTTACGTATGCCTAGTCATCGCCTTCCTCGATGGGAAATGTTAGCTGACATAGGGTCAGACTGGAAAAGAGGTAGCGGTGATCCAACCAAAACATGACTTCACCAGTCAATGAATTCCACAACAGTTAGTTTAAGCCAGTCAGCCACGTAGGAAGGTGTAGACTTCCTGACTGGTTGGGGTCGTCGGGACGGTAAAAACCAATGGTTGGAAACAATTGGTGGTATGGCTCAATGGCTAGCGCAGATACATCCACTCCTTGTGACTTGTGATTTAAAATGAAACTATATTGTTTTTCGTTATTACTACTCCTTTGTCCTACACCTGTTTACTGATCTATCAGGTGGAAACTGTTGAGGAGTGGTCGTATGACAGCATTTTGACAAAGAAGTCTACCAACCCTTGACCCTATCAGTTCATCAGCATTACTCCAGAATGCATCACTTCTCTGTTTTATAACTAACTAGCTGGTGATATTTTCAGTTACTTCACCAAGTACATGCATCTCAGACATTTTGAAGTGTGTTTTGTTTTAAAGCCATCTCAAGCACCTATATGGGCGTCATAACCGAAACGAGTAGCTACAATGTTCACAGTTTGTCCTAATGCATGTCTTATTTTCATGAACGAAATATTCCCATTACCACTCTATTACTGTTTATTAATAACATTGCTTTCCACACAGATCTTATACAAAAATACTTTATAGCCTTTCCACTAGTTCCTGTCCATTCTACACTAGCTTATTGATTAGTCATTATCTCACACTTATTAGGTCATGCCAACTTCTGTCTCCTTTCTAACTTACAATTAGTCATCCCTTCTTACACCACACGTTATGTAGTAGAATTTTCAAGGACAAGGTTTACCAGTATCTGATTGGTCAAAAAAACTTATGTGTTTAATTATAATTACGATTGTACAGCTCATGAGAATGAATCGTCGAAAAGAAAATTTTCTTCGCTGTTTGTGCCTTTTCTTAAGTCTTATTTTAGTCAGTTTTTCCAGTGTAATTCAACTTTAACAGACACTGAGCTCCATAATAGATGCTAGCTGGACATTTTTAATATATCATCATCTGACCACTTTAACTGGTACGTATTCACGCCGCGTTATCATCACTGTTTTCTGTACGCCATATCTGACCAACTCTCACAAAGATGTGAGAACTGAGTCTGTGACGTTCAATGAAGTTGAAAGGAACATTCAGTTTGGTTGCTAAAACATGAAATCTACCTTCACATATTGTTATCATTAAATATTGTCTTGTACGTTTATGTATTTTTATGCTAGGACGTATACAAGTCTCGCACTCGCTGTAATTTCCTCGTGTTTGCACGGCATACATCTTAACCTGAAGGTGGTATTCCACCCTATCAACCGAGAGGTCCTGTGGCAATGTATTTTTGTGAAGGAGTTACCGTGAAACTATATCGCACTAATCAAGGCACTTGTGAAGCAGTGTAAGAGCACCCGGAGAGTTGTCATCTGAAGTGGTGCCCACCACAAATGTCCATTGTCCCCATTTCCGTCTGACTTCATCATCTATATACTAATGGAATAACTACCTTATTTGACTATATCGACTTAGGGATTGATTTATTACCACGGAACTGCCTCGCCGACTTAGAGTATGCGGATGATATTCCCCCCTCCCTAGGTGAAGATGCTGATAAACTCCAAAGTCTCATGAACACCTTGAGTAGAAATCTTAATATCTTTGGCATGAAATTCACTCCTGTCAGGTGGAGGATGATGCTGCAGGACTGGATTTCACAGACTCGTAGTGAAGTAGTAGAGCGTGTTATTCACTTCGCATATATGGGAAGTTGCATCAGTCCCTTTCAGCTGATTGCTGACGAGATGTCATAACAGATACACAGAAGGCTCGTGTAGCACTAACCAACTTAGCTATCTTTGGTATAGCTTAATATCCAGTTCTCAATCGGAGGAAGTGTGTACTGTGCAGGAGTTCGCTCCGTCCTTCCCTATACCTGTGAGATATAGATACTGAAAGTGGAAGATATGAAAAGGCTAGCTGGTAAGTGGTACAATACGGTGGATACCATCGAGGTTAAGGGCGGACTTCTAGATAAAGATGACAAGTCTATTGGTGAATCGATTGAGATGACTACGATATGTGCTACGAATGCTAAGCCATCGCTTTCCTTGATGGGTAATGTTAGCCGGCTTAGGATTGGGTTGAAATAGAATTATGAGTGATCAAATCAATGCTTGATATGAATCTACCTTATCACTGACAGTTGATTTCAGCCAGTCAAGTAGGGAGGTTTAGATTGTCTGGAGTATGGGAATGTCCTTGGGATCCTAAGAGCCAGTCGCTGAAGGCTTTTAGTCATATGGCTGGAAATCGTTTTCAGTGGCTCAAACTGTCTGTCTGTTTTCGACACAGAACTTTGCACTGATGTGCGGCAGTTCACGTCGCCACACTCCCTCAATTTAGCACACAAAGCAAGAGAAGAAATACATAATAGATACAGTAAAGAGAGGTGTGAGACAAAGGAATAGTAATAACGAAAAAAAATATAGTTTCATTTTAAATCAAAAGTCTCAGGGAGTGGATGCATCTGCGCTAGCCATTGAGAACGATTTTGAGCCATATCACCAATTGTTTCCAACCATTGGTTTTTACCGTCCCGACGACCCCAACCAGTCAGAAGGTCTACACCTTCCTACGTGGCTGACTGGCTTAAACTAACTGTTGTGGAATTCAGTGACTGGTGAAGCCATGTTTTGGTTTGACCACCACTGCTTCTTTTCCAGTCTGACCCTATGTCAGCTAACATTTCCTATCGAGTAAGGCTATGGCTGGGCATGCTTGCGTAACACATGTCCTAACCATCTCAGTTGATGTAATTTCACAGCCTCGTCGATTGATTTCCCCTTCTTACCTAGAACTCGACTCCTAGCCTCAAAATTTCTAATCTAGGAATTGGTGTAGTTCAGTCC